AATAATGTTTGTACTGTGCGGTGTTTGTAGTTTCAAAGAAGGGCTCTGCAGTCTGCACTGTAGCAATGGTTTTTTTTTTTTAATTTTTTATGAAATTGGGAAAAAAAGTTGTCTTTTTCGATGCCCATTTAAGATTCGCTTACAGTATTGCCAAATTTCTTTTAGTTTATGAAATTTCTAAGAAACGCCTAAAAATATTTCATCAATTATTTCAGTAAAAATCACTGATAATCACTTTTTAGAGCAGAAACGTCAGCCATCATACTTAAGAAATATATCGTTGGAAAGGGGATCAAGGGCGCTTTCTAAAAATGACATAAAAAATCCAGGTCTTTATTTAAAAAAATTAGGTTGATGATGATAGCTCGATCTCGAAACGTCGAATCTAAAACTTGAAGATGCCATGTTGTAGAGAGAAAATTATAAAACTTTTAAATTTAAATTGTGTCTCGAAAATCAATAGTTTTCGAAATAATTGATCAAATAATTTTAGGCGTTTTTTAGAAATCACCCTGTATTTCACAAACTAAAAGGAATTTGGCAACACTGTAAGCCAGTCTTGAATGGGCATAAAGGCAATTTTTTTCTAATTTAACCGACTTTGTAGCTCTTACTGTTTCGGATATAGCAAATAGTGGTATCACTTAAAATATACACCCTGATAAATCAATTGCCGTGCGTTAGTTTCGCAAAAACTCGAAAATGGCCAGACTGATTTGAATATATATTTTTTAATTTCATTCGCCTCAATCTAGGGGTGGATTAAAAAAAAAAAAAACCCAAAGAAAAATCTAAAAAAGCAAAAAAAAATTTGATGGACATAAAGTTTGACAGCTCCGTTCTTCTCATTTTATCCCTACATATTCACGCATTGTAGTATTTAATTACAGGCCTATTAGTACCTACTTATCCAGTAGCCAATAATTTCATTTTTTAATTTTTTATTTATAGTTATTTGCTAGAAGACTAAAAATTTCCAAATTTAACCATGAGTAAATCTATTGTCCATTATCATAACAATTATTGATAAACTCAAATTTTATATTGTTTGTAATTATAACTGAGTCAACGTTTATCATAACTTTTTTATTGCCGTTTAAATAACAGGTAGACATAAAATATTAATTGTTCTACTTGTTGTTTTATATATCATTTAAGATAACATTTCTTATCATTTATTTCTATGCATTGTTTCTTTTATTATTTGATCATGAATGGTACAAATTATGATAGCAGAATAAATTAAGGCATAACTTTCAAGTTTTTACTTATAGCCCAGGGTCGATCCAGTCAAACCATGAACAATTACAGACAAGCTGAAACTTGGTATATAGGCTTATATTGGGGTCCTTGAAATACCACCAAACCCTACCGGTAATCTGCCGTGCCTGTCACCCCTAAACAACCCCTTAAAGGGGTGAAAATCGGACTTTTTTTAGTTTTTTGTCAATATCCTAAAAACAAAGCTATTTACGGCAAAATATGAGGGAAGAAAAATTAAAGACCATGAAATTTTCTATAAAATCACGTCTAGCTGTTATATTTTGCTTTACCAGTAGCGGAGTTATAATATTTTCAATAACTGGATATTTTGTAAAAAAACTCACTGGTCATTAGGTACTTATTGGATTTTGATATTAAATATATGTATGTCTAACAATCCATAGAGACATTTTGGTAAGTAAATACATTTAAAACATTCTTAAGTCAATAAATTAGAAATAAAAAAGCATACCAGTGGAGTACAAGTAGGTACTATATCTCTAATTTCATACATTAACTTGTATGAATTAATAGAATTAATATTATACAATGGTATTATTAAATGAATGATAATAATTATTTCAAATATCCGTGGAATTTCTGCTTTCAATTACTACTTATCTGCATGTTTAGGGCAGGATAGACGCTCCGTCAAGTATATCAACTCGTTTGCGCAAAGTTATATTGAACGGCAAGGCTGAATCCTTATTTGACTCCTAACTATTCAGTCTTGTTGATCAATTAACCGTTCAGTTAATAAAAAGCAATATGACTGACGATCTAATTTGTGCGGCTGCTATCGCCAAAGTTTCCATTATGCAGTGGAAAAGCGGAAATTAAATAAGAGAAAACTTTCGAAGTGGCAAAAGAATGATTACTCAAGCGACAACAATTATCACGTCAATTTACTGAAAGGGCTTCGATTAGAACCTGAGGATTGGTTTAATTATATACAGTTATGAGAAAAGCATTATCTCCACATCAGCATTAATTCAATTTTTCTATAAGTATCTCATGAGCTGCATTTTTGTTTGTGTTTGTCTGAGTATTCTTTGGCTTTCACCTTCCAAAGACATGAATTTTCCCTATCTAAATTGATGAAATTCGTGAGGAAGTCTCTTGACATGAGACGTAGGTCTGACATGCTTGAATATACTATATCTTCTTTTTGAATTTAGAATTCGCCTGCACCCTGCACAAGGAAACTTTCTCTAGCAGAAATAGAAGACGCAATTAATAAATTGAGAGAACTGTTACATGCCGCACATTACAACTTATCGCTAGACAAGTCTCTGTATACGCAGGAAAATACCTATCTGACAGGTTTGATTTCGTTCAAACCAAACAATTGTCTGTGCAAATTTAATAAATAAATAAATAAATAAATATTTCACGGACAAGCCATTTTACTGTCTGCCGACCGGAGCAGGGGTATACTCCGCCAACTATAGCGATCACTATGCACTGGGAAAACATGCGTCTGTTTTTCAAGCAGAGGCATACGCCTTTACGCTATACTCCAATGCACAGCGGAGAACAACAGGAGAGCCACAGCCAACAGACAGATCTTTATAATGTCTGATAGTCAAGCGGCACTAAAGGCCCTTTCGAGCCAGACGTGTCATCAAGACTAGTATGGGAATGACAGGAAGAACTCCGGGCCCTGGCGGACCAGAATAAGGTAAAACTTATGTGGGTGCCAGGACACAAAGGAATCAAAGGCAATCTAAAAGCTGATGAACTCGCCAAGAGACGGTCAGAGACAAAACTTATCGGGCCAGAACCGGCTCTAGGGATACCAAAAAGTATGACCAGAAGCCACATCAAAGACTGGATTCGTAAAGAACATCGGCGACACTAGACAACTTCCAGGCAGAATCATGGTAGAGAATTCATCGACCAACCATGCAGCAAAAGGGCCGCAGAACTGCTACAAAAAAGCAGGAGCCAACTGAGAACCATTACAGGCTCTTGACTGGCCATACACCAGTAAAGGTCCACCTGAACAGGATGAACCTGTACGACGGAGACCTTAACTACAGACTCTGCAATAAAGAACCCGAGACAGCCAGACACATCCTGGTGAACTGCGAGGCACTGGATCGCAGAAGAGACAGCATTTTCGGGCAACCAAACGTAGACCCGACCCGGAAACAATAATGAAACACCACCCAGTAAAAGACCTGTACATTAACCTCGTACAAGGCACAAAAATATTGGAGTGGTAGTGGTAGGAATAAACCACACAGGCTAAGTACAATAGGCCTTCTCAGGCTCCAGTGCTGCATGGAGACATGAAGTCGGACAGGCCTGGAACAAGGGGCAAAAAAAAAATTGATGGACATGACGGAGCGTCTATCCCGGCCTTAAGAGATGTCATCCGCCTGTATATCCTCAACTGTCTTGTTAAAACAGGCAACACCATATAGTAGCCATGTTTGTTTTTGTCATCTTTTTCGTCGATTTGCTCCAAAATTTTGACAGGCACGTGATTTGTAGCATGGAGACAATAAGTCGGACAGGCCTGGAACAAGGAGGAAAAAAAAGTTAATGGACATGACGGAGCGTCTATCCCGGCCTTTAGAGATGTCATCCGCCTGTATATCCTCTATCTTGTTAAAACAGATAACACCATACACTAGCCAGTTCGTTTTTGTCATCTTTTTCGTCGATTTGCTCCGAAATTTTGACAGGCACGTCATTTGTATACTGAAACTGTCTGATCCAGTCACGTGCCTGTCAAAATTTCGGAGCAAATCGACGAAAAAGATGACGAACGAACACGGCTCGTCGACATGCCAAGGTACCCTTTAGGCCCTTTTTACAAAGTGAGCATGCATTTTTGCAACCACCTGATGAACAGTTAGGTACAAAAAATTTGTTTAGGGATCGGACGGCTGCTATATCTTCATCCTGTCTAGATGTCTATTCTCGAAGCTGGAGAACAGCGTTCTCATGAGAACGATTGCTCCGTCTTTGTCAGTGTTATGAAATTATGAGTATGAGCGACGAAGACAGAGCCTTCGTTCTTATGAGAACGCTGTTCCCCTGTTCCAATATTAAGGACCCTGGACTGGAGAGATTCCGGAATCACTAGAAACCCATCCCCATTGCTGGAGTAGTAATTAATTAAGCTATTATTCAACCATGCTTGCACCTGAAAGCTGAAAGCACAGCTAAAAGTGATGTAAAAGTCTGACGCCCCCAAAGTGCAAAGAAAAAATCGAAATACTTGCTGAAACCTTGTTTTTTTTTTTTAAATTAAAGAGAAAAAAATTGCGAATCGAACGCACCAAGTACCAGACGGTTTTAGCGAGGACTAATCCTCGCCATACGACGCCGTTTTCCTCTGTTAAACAGGCCAGATGTGGTATTACATCCGCAAATGGTGAGCATGGCAAGAACATTTTTAAAAGGTCCCAACTTATCCTGCACCCTATAGACTGTTAGATATATTTAATATAAAAATCTATTAACTCATGGCTAGAGTATTTTTACAAAATATCCAGTTATTAAAAATATCATAACTCCGTTAATAGTGGAGCAAAATATAACTGCTAAACGTGATTTTATAGGAAATTTTATGCTCTTCAATTTTTCTAACTTATATTTATTTCGTAAATAGCTTTGTTTTTGAGATATTGCCAAAAAACTAGAAAAAGTCCGATTTTCAACCCGATTACCAGTGAGGTTTGGTGGTTTATTAATTGTCCCCAATACAAACCTATATACCAAATTTCAGCTTATCTCTAATTTGTTCATATTTTCCTATTTAAAGCATCAGATCGAGCCGGGGCTATTATGTGCTAATGATATTTCTATTTCAGCTTCTAGTAACTAAATTTGTGGGCAAATGACAAATACTCCGAATAATTATATAGCAATGAGCAAATGTTTAAAGCAAGAAAGAATGTCCAACAAAAAAAAAACCACAATTGAATTGGATTTCAACAACTACAAAATTGAAAGAAAAATATCTGTTGCTTTGTGGTCCTGTAGTTTTATTAGTCATAGTAAAATAAACCTTGGGTTGAAATAAACAATTGTTGTGTCGAAACATTTATTTTTAATATGACATACACTTATCTTCAACATATAAATTTATACTTATTAATACTAACAATATTATAATAGGTTCTCTAAAAAGAATTAGAATCTTTATTACCAATTTTGACAAAGGTCAATGCAATAATTTTTAAAACTTGTTACTTTCAATTTTGTACAATACCATTAATTGATGAAAACAGATAAGTAACGGAAATAATTTAAGGAAAGTTAGAAACTAAGGAACATATATTTACAGAATATTTGAAATTAAAATTTGAATGAATATAATGTCAAATGTAGAATTTATAGTTTTTTTTATGAAGTGATCTGATACTTCTGATAGTAAATAAGTACATACAAAGACCAGTTAAAAGAAAACTATAAATAACAATCTCACTAACAATATAAAACATATCAAGAAAAAATTTGTACCTACTTAATCAAAATAATTATTAATTTCCCTTGGTGAAATTTATAATTATTAGTTCAGATAAGAAAAACACAGATTGGGTACCTAGTTGTTTATTGAATTTTAAAAAACATTTGAAATCTACATGGATGTTGACGCTCTCAGAGGAAATCTCACTTAAAATACAAAAAATAACAATAAATTATGAAGGTACTTATATTGACATTATTATTGAACAGAACAGATTATCCAACTAAAAATAATTGCTTATGGACACATATGTAAAAAATTACTAAATCAATTAATTCTCTATCTTGTGTACTATATTGTAACTAAAATCATAAACTCATATAAGAATGGGGGTCCCGCAAGGTACAGTTCTTGGTCCAATTTTATTTTTAACTTATATTAACTCCTTAACGGACATGAATATTGAAAACGGTACTATTATCTCATATGCCGACGACACATCGGTGATATTTTTCGGTAACTCTTGGCCTGAAGTTAAACATTATGTGAACATCGGGATATCAAAAATTAAAAATTGGCTTGACACATGTAAGCTCTCTCTAAACGTTCGAAAAACCAATTATGTAGCTTTCTCGATTACTGCTGTTAATAGGCCGGACTTTGATTGTATTAAGGTCGATAATTTGGAGGAGTGTATTTGTGAAGTAGCTCAGACTAAGTATTTGGGAATGATCGTTGATAAGTATTTGAAATGGGACCAGCATGTGCTGAGCCTTTCAAATAAGATTAGGAAATTGATCTATAAGTTCTATTATTTCAATTGAACAAATTTTAGTCAAAAAATAAGCAAAATATCTAAAGCATCTTAATGCAGCATTGAAGACTTGAGCAAAATATCATAAGTCAGCAAAGAATGTATTGAAAACAATTTCAGATGTTAAAGGAAATGGGCAATTTATCACAAAGTCAAAAATTGGAAGGCCAAAATGCACTACCAACTATTGTTAATTTATTAAGTGGTAACACAAACATGACAACAAATTCTCAAGATTTTTCTGTGGAAAATACTCATTTAAACAGACAAGATGAAGCAATGGATTTGCCAATGAAAAATAAATCATTTGACTCAAATAAATCACCAATGTCTAAAAATCCACCACCATATGGAGTCTATGTAAGAGTGAATTAAAAATTTTTTTTTTTTTTTTAATTATTCTCTTTTAGAACCCTCACAGCTCAATTGCAAGATCCACAAACAATAGTTCCAACGGTTCAGTGAAAAATTCTAGTGGTTCACAATTTAAAAAATCCAAGACCCTACCATCTAAAAGAGAGCCCCTTAGGACAATGTTGCCTAAACTCACTCTCCAGTCAAAAAAAACCAGCACTCCTTTGCAAGAGCCGAAACTCAAACCGATGGCAGCTTCTACGCCAGCTTCGCCTCAATCGAATACATCAAAGCCAAAACTCACCAGGTCGTTTTTTTATCAAGCAAGATCTTTGAACAAACCAGCTTCTACGCCAGCTTCACCCCAATCGAATACATCAAAGCCAAAACTCACCAGGTCGTTTTTTTATCAAGCAAGATCTTTAAACACACCAAATTCTGTTAATGAAATGGCAAATAATTCAAAGAAAGATGTTGGGGATTTGGGCCCTTCAAAAGAGTCTAGAATGGAATTGAGGCCACCAAGCAGGGTAAGAATTTTCCTTTGTGAAGTTAGCAACTTTTGAAAATATTCAAGTAACTTTACACATCAAAAACATATTTTTCTATTTGTTTCAGCTGGGTCTTGCAAGGAAAGTGGGCAAAGAAAATTTCAAACCTTAATTTTTATGTTTTCTTAAATCTAGTTTTTTTTTGTGATACACTTTACTTGTTTGATAAGGTATTATATTATTGATTGTGTCTCTTTTATCATTTGTAAAATTATATATTTTCTGGAACTCTTAAAATGGGATAATTTATTTAATGAAATTTTATGTTTGTATTTATATTACTTTCTGTCTTCAAATTAATCACCACTGAAAACATTTTGTTGTTAATTGTCACTGGCTTTCATGCAGGTTTCCAGCTAAGTTTTCTTTTCTTGTGAAATATATTTCAAAAAATCTAACAACAAAACCATCATATTTCTGATTCTGAGATTGAAAATTGAAGTTTAGTTTTGGTTCCATAATAAATTTAAGGCAACCTCTTTTATGATATTAAAATTAAGACTGTCACATTGGACCAAAAAACTGTGATAAAAAAATTGTACCGCCCAATACTTACATGCCATATTTATTTGATGAGATTTGCAATCTTTTAGGAACTTTCTAACCAATCTGTGTACTTATAGGTTTAAAAATGAAATGGCACTAAAGTGTTTGAATGAGATATGTGATGTGCCCATCTTAAGTGCTCAGCTAAATTATCACTAATACTGGACGTTAGTGAACGCATAGAAATTAAACTGAGGTTATACATAAATTCACTAATTATTTTGAAAAATATGAGTGATGTAGCTCCCAGTAACTGAAGCTAAATGATCAAAAAAAAAAACATTACTTAAAAATAAATTGTAGCCCAGCTCTGACATCGATGTTGGCAGCTGATTATTAAATCAGTTATTGAAAACTAAGGAGTGACTCATTTTAAGAGGAACAATAAAATGTTAATTCAGTTTATCACAGTGTAAAATAAGGTGATCTTTTGGAAACTTGCACTTTTGAAGTGAGTCACTTAATATAATCATTAATGAATTAAAGCTTCTTACTCACTATTAGTTGAATTGCATAGTGGTGATATATGATAGAGATTTGTTGATCAATGCATCAAATCGAGGCATCAAGAAATAGTGAGTAGCAGGCTTAGGGCTTACCCCTTTTTCTTAGAAAAATATCGGGTAATGCTAAAGACAATCTGCAAAAATTTACATTTTACAGCTACAAAGAGGTGTTTGTAGGTTTGTTATCTTTTGATCGTAATCTGCTCTTGCTGTAAGTTTTATGCATATTTTTTTGCAAATTGCAATACATACTTAGATATAGTTTTAAAATAAACAATTTACAAAGAATGATATAATAAGAATAACGTATAGACAAGGTTATAGACTGAAATTTAATACAGGACATTGCATTTTACTTTGTGAAAGCTGCGAAAACAGCCCAAAGGACTTCACAAGTATTAGGTTTATTGGATTCCTCTTCGAAGTTCAAATCAAGAAGTTTTCTTACTCTTTTAGTTGCAAGTTCATAATCATCATCATTCAGGGGAGCAAACGCATTCTCGAGAACATCACTGGCATGGGCCAGAAAAATTAAGGCCAACATTCTCCTGTCCATGTGATGGGGATTGTTGACCCATTTGTTGAGGACTGCATCTTGGATTTTCTTTATCAATCGAGTTTTTGTAATGTTGTCTGTTAATGGATGTGTAGTCATATCGAAGAATAGAAAGTTTTGCTTTTCTGTTGTGAGCACACCTTTTTCAACTAAGTTCTTTGCCAAACGTTCCCGCACATTCTTCAACTGATAGCGTAGCTTGAGGGGATTCCAGGTTTCACCGCTTAAGTATTCAATCCAGCTCTGGACACTTTCTGGTGGGTCTGTTTCTTTGAGATGCTTCAGAGCCTCGTCCAGCAAGACGTCTCCTACAGGGGTGTCACTTTTGAGTATGAGTTTACGAGAGAGAAGACTCCTTCTTCGCATACCATTTTTCTCTAGTTCTACTCTGCCCCTTATACCCAGCTCTATCAGAATACAACCTCGTAGTCCACTCGAAATGCAATCGTTCCAAAATGAGGTATAACCTTCTTTATCTTTTAAGCCTAGTAGTAGCACCTCTTCCATTAATGTTAGTCTAGTTTCCTTCGAATCACCTTCCAATTCTTCATCTCTGCTGGGTTTTCGTTCTTCGATTTCTTCTTTTGATAGTCCTTCGTTATTTTCCCTCGTTACATTTCGCCTTTTCACAAAACCTTCACTACGATTCATTTTTTTCAAAGTACATAATATCTAGTTAACAAATAAAATAAATGTTGACGTTTACGATTTTCGTCACTGTGGTGGTAAAGCAATCGCGGACAATTTCGCTAATCAGAGGAACGTCAAATAAAAATTAGTCAACTTCCTTTCTCCAGTCTGACAGGGATAAAGTCGCCGCGTTGCCACATTTTCTCGATTTACTAGAATTGAAAGAAAACATTCACTTAAAATTTTTTAAATTAGGGCTTTTTCTATCGGTAAGAATTTCGAACATTCCAAAGCGTTGGCGGAAACGGCACTAAATATTACAGAATAACAGTAATTGTTAAATTTTTAAGAATATAACCAGCAAAAACACCGCCAATTTTGGCCGAATTTGTTTTTTCCTTCTTGGGCAGATAGCTGAGTTGACATTCCGCTGCTGCATTCCAGTATGCACATTGGCGGGCTCTAGAGTACCCGGGAGCGCCACGCCACGCCGTTCTAAGTATCATGACGTGTGACGTTTGTCCGTACGTATAGCTTGGGAGCTCAACGCTCCGAGTATCTCCGAGCGTCACACTCCCATACTGGAAAGCAGCTGAATGCAAGACTTTAGTGGAGCGCGTTCATAAATTAATAGCGTATTTCATGGTAGAGCAAAAGCCGCTTTCCAGTATGGGAGTGTGACGCTGAAAGCTACTCAGAGCGTTGAGCCCCCGAACTATACGTACGGACAAACGTCAGACGTCATGATACTGGAACGGTACAAATCTAGTGCGTGGCGCTCCCGGGGTGCTCTAGAACGCGCCAATGTGTATACTGGAAAGCAGCTAATTGCAACACGATGCAATTTGTGATCCATTGGCAGAGTCCGCGCTGCACTTTTATAGTTCATTGGGAAAGCAATGCACTGAGTGCTGCTGGTGCGCCACCGGCTAAAAAAATTGAGGTCACTGGTGGTTGATGGTTTTTCATAAAAAAAACAGTCCCAAATATTTTTTTTATTGTGTTTTTTATATATGTCTCCGAATCAACTTTCAAAAATGTAAAAAATTGCGTGTTGATGGCAATTGCCTTGATGGAAAGTAGCAGCAGCAGTGAAACCAGTGAATATGAAGAATATTTGGAACTTCTAGCAGAGAGGGAAGAACTTTTTTTTAAAATTAAATTATTATAGTAATTATTTATAATAGTTGTATTCCTTTCAAGAGCTTGAAACACTCGAGCTACTCGCTCCGGTGTTTAGACGCCCCCGATTTGCAGGAAACAGATGCGTGGTGCAACAAACGCTTTTCGAAAGAAATAAGCGCGTGAAGCCCCGGAGCTGTTCCGGAGCTCCTCCTAGGTGTGAAAGGATTACAACTATTAAGAACAATTATATACTTTTTTTCCATATTTGAAGTTTGACGTATATGGGATGGTGCAGTACGATGATGTTTCAACTAGCTCCTCAGGAAAAGAGGACCAGTATTCAATCTTATTAATTTAATTGCCGATTCGATCGGATGTTTATTGCAATTCAGCAATAAATTGATACAAATAGTGGGCCAAGCCAAGCAACAGGCAGACTTGAACCAGTGTTAGTACCGCCACCCTAGAAACACTCCTCTGGAATCAAGTCTCCCCAGTGCAAGTACCGCCACCCTGAGAAAAGCCCCTCTGGGAAACTGTATCGTCATCTAGTGCAAGTACCGCCACCTTGGGAAAGCCCCTCTAAGTTAAACGACGACGAGCATTCTACGTAACATTAGATACTTTAAGGGCGGATATTATAAAACTGCTTTGACAGTTAACTTGAAGTTAACTTTTTGAATTACATGTAATTTTCATTTCAATGTTTTCTCACTGGTGCTATGCTTAAGATGTATCGAGTCCATGTCACATCCGAGAAGATTCGGAAATATGATCCATGGGGTCCAATGTCTAATTCCAGAAGTTAACTTTAAGTTAACTCTCAAAGTAGTTTTATAATACCCGCCCTAATAAGTTAGACAAAATACGTTAACGCTAACGTAAGATTTGACAGCTGCGCATGCGCAGTTTCTTTTCACCAAAAATAGCGTGTTACGTGTCACGTTATTTAACGGGTCTTTGCGTGTACCTTATCCGTAAACGTTCGTTAAACCGAGTGGGCCTGTAAGCCAGATTGCCGGTGTAGACCTTTGCCAAATGTATTTTAACCTTAAAAAAAAAAGTTGTCATGTAATCCAAAATAATCAAAATTCGAAATAGCTATTTATACAATAAGTTGCGAAATGAGCGTCTTTTAGGCACGCGACGTGAAAATTGTCCAACGAGGCAAAGCCGAGTTGGACAACACGATGACGATACAGTTTCCCAGAGGGGCTTTTCTCAGGGTGGCGGTACTTGCACTGGGGAGACTTGATTCCAGAGGGGTGTTTCTAGGGTGGCGGTACTAACACGTTTCGTAACGTATTGTATACAAGATTTTTTCTACTGGCCTTTCATAATAAAAAAACACAATTTTATTTCAATGTTTGTCACCTGCTTTTGCTTGACACCTTTCATGGTGGTGAGTGGTGCCTAATATTCATAATAAATACAAAACAAAATTCAAATCTGTGTTTAGTGTGTTTTTTATTTCTGAACAATGAATGATACTTTTAGGCACTAGTGCTTAAAAGTTATTTTTACGCACTTGAAAGTCACTTTTACGCACTTGAAAGTTAGTTTTACGCACTTGAAAGTCACTTCTACGCACTGAGTGCCTAAAAGTCACTTTTACGCATTGAGTGCTTAAAAGAATGTCGTTTCAAAACTAAAATGACAATCGAAAAGTTGCTATTATGAAACGTCAGTAGAAAAAATTATTTCTAATTTGTCCTTTTCACAACAAAATTTAGAGGTTAGGTCATGATTGTGAAATATAACGGTAATGTTTACGTGTAAATTTAACTTAAACTGATTTGTGAGTACCGACGATCACTCGACGTTATAGTAAAAAATAGGGTTTACGTTTAAAGATTACGTTAACGAGTTTGGTCAAACTTAAAGTGTCTATTAGCATCAAACAGACATTCCTTCCTCAGTAGCGTCAAACGTGTGGCCCTTCCCACAGAAGAGCATGTATCAAGGATTCATGACGTAATGGCTTCTTAGCAAATATACATATTTTTATATAAAAACATAGCGAGTTACTCTCCATCTATCCACCCTACACCCCCCGTCACAGAGAAGCTGTGACCATATCACTATTGGGACTGCACTTTTCAAAGTGTCAGTGCAAACGAGTGTTGCACTTGCTCTACCAATGAAAAACGCTATAAATATCCAGGCGAAATTCGCCGAGAGCGATATTCAAGGCTAATACAAACTACTACTACAGGATAGCCTATCCTCATAAGGCCTGTGTAGTTCAAATCTCAAGCCCAAGGACCAGAGATAACGTAGGCGGCATGTCGTTTCTCGCCTTGACGCAAGGAGGATACACACTCTAAGAAGTGCTTATCGGCCTCGTTTTTGGTAGTCGCCGCCATATTGGTGTGATACCATTTCCGACGTCATAACTAAGGGTGACTGAGGCGTCAGCTGTTTAAACAGCCTACGTCAAGGCAAGAAATAATATGCTGCCCACGTCACAACTGGTGATTTGGCGTGGTGGGGGCTTCAGATTTGTTCCACATAGGTGTTATGACGATAATCTATCTTGTAGCAGTAGTGTGTATTATCCTTGGGGTGTTTGCACCACAGGTTATGATTTCGCGGGCTTCGGCTTTCTGCATACTTGGTTTCACTACATCAATCAACATTCTACAACATCTCTTTTATAGATCTCGTTTTCGTCTTCCTCTTTGCCTAATGCCTATTATGGCTGGGTTCGGTAATGGCATCTGCGAGCAAAAAGCAAGGTTCCTAAAGTTAATAGGTTGCCTGGTAATGGGTAACTAGATGACGTTCTGTGGTGCGTTATGGAGATTCGACGTCATAAAGTTATCAGGCAACCTACCTCTGTCAAGCAACCTTCAGCAAAAAGAGTAAATTTTGACGGACGTCACGTGATCACTTATCTTTTTTCACGTGTCAAATCACGTAGCATCTGTCAAATTTAGCTCATTTTGCTCGCATATGCAATTACCGAACCCAGCCTATCTTATTCAAAATTTAATATTTTTCATCATAAATTTAAATTCCAAACTACGGCCGCTGGCGCAAACAACTGACGACTTAATGACGTCCACAATGGTGCTACACCATAATGGCGGCAATTACCAAAAACGAGGCCGATAAGCTATCCTTAAGCCTATTCTCACTTGCGCGAAATTCGCTCTTTTTTGACATTGCTATTGCTTCGACAATTTGACGTTTGATTCATGTATAAAACGTCAAATTGTTGAAGCAATGTCAAAAAAGAGCTAACTTCACGCAAAAAGAGCGAATTTCACGCAAGTGGAAATGAGGCATTAAGCCTAGTACTCATAACTGCGAAATTCGCATTTTTTTGACATTGCGTTGACAATTTGACGTTTTATGCGTGTATCAAACGTCAATTTGTCGAAGCAATGTCAAAAAAATGCGAATTTCGCAGTTATGAGTACTAGGCTTTAGTAGTGTGTATTATCCCTGAGGGCTTGAAAAATATACGAACATGCGGAGCGTAATTTCTGTCAGAATCATCATCATCCGTCAATGGTTAAATTCGTGAAATTACTCTTGACCTACTTTTAAATAGTAAAGGTGTTGCTTATTAGTTTGTTGCAAGTAGATGTGATTTTCCTCATTTGTATATGGTGATCCATCTATATTTCAATCAGTTTGAACCTTTCGGGATTAATTTCAACTTCTATTTGATCCATAATAACAATTCCAAGACTTGCAAATTTGACCTTGGAACCTAAAATATCAAAAATCTCGTAGATTTCGACATTTATCAAACACAAACGAAAACCTAAAACAAACATGAAACGTACACTTGCGGCCAATCATAAAACTGGTACGCATTTTCCTATTGTAATGTATTGTGTAAAACGAACTTTTTTATCTCCTCAACAATGACAAAAAGAGTAAAGTCAGTGTCATATTTAAACCATAATCATAACATAAGAAAATGTTGCATTTATTTTTGTTCAGCTTTGACGTCGACAAAAACTGTCTGACTTTCGTTATTATGCTTGACTCACACTAGGCAAATTTAAATATATATATTTCCTGTACCAGTTTTATGTTTGGCCAAGTGTACTGCGCATGTCGGCCCATTTTTAGCCATGACAGCTAGAAGGTCATTTCGGGCGCGCTCCTTGTGCACACCAACCTACAGTTATTAACGCGCGGAGCATTGAAACCGGTAAAAGCCGAAGTCATTTATGAACGCATTTGGGCGATCGGAGAGCGCCGGGCGTGGATTTATGAACGTACCCATTAAAACTGCACGTGCTTTCTAGAAATAGGGCAGCATTGAATGAAATGACAAAAACACCACATCGGTTCCCTTGTTTATTTTATTATTTTGCGCCATGCTGGCTGCAAAGTGCAAGCTGTAATACTGCACTATTGCAGTTCTCACAGTATTCCTTTCAAGAGTTTGAAACACTCGAGCTACTCGCTCCGGTGTTTAGTCGCCCCCGATTTGCAGGGAACAGATGCGTGGTGCAACAAACACTTTTCGAAAGGAATAAGCGCGTGAAGCCCCGGAGCTGTTCCTGAGCTCCTCCTAGCTGTGAAAGGAATACAACTAATCATAACTGCGAAATTCGCACTTTTTTGACATTGCTTCGACAATTTGACGTTTTATGCGGAATCAAACGTCAAATTGTCGAAGTAATGTCAAAAAACAGCGAATTTCGCAGCTATGAGTACAAGGCTTTAGATTTCCATAGATGTTTGAGACGGGTTAGTTTGGGTTGTCGCAGTAATGTCAAAAAACAGCGAATTTCGCAGCTATGAGTACAAGGCTTTAGATTTCCATAGATGTTTGAGACGGGTTAGTTTGGGTTAGCAACAAATTACCAAATTGCGCAAATGCCGCTCGACCCCCAAGAGCTGGCGCGAACTGATTGCACTCGAGACAGAAAGTGCCGCACTTTTTCGGTTGGATCTGTGGTTGGATCCAAAAACTTACTCTGAAATGACCATAAGTTAAAAAATTCAGCACTATCTCGGCAAATGGAATTCGCTATATTAGTTTGACAGCATACAGGTGTCATCTCTGTCCCGCCCCCCCTAAGTGGAAAAGAAAAGCGATCAGCTGTTTACAAATTTTGAATTTTGTATTTACAATAATTTCAGAATTACACAAGGACAAAAATTAATTTTTAAGGAAAGGTATGTACAAAAAGATATTTAATTTTGGTTCAAACTTTTGTGAGAACTTTTTAATCTTATGTATCTGTAAATTGTATAGATATGAGGTACCTACTTAGTGCACCAGAACCGTTTTCCATTCATAATCATTTAAGGGTACAACTAATCACTTTTTCAGCAATAATTGTTGATAGAAAATCAGTGGGTAACCCTCTCGGTTCACCCTCGTGTACCTATTCTTTTATTTATTGCAACTTAATGAAAGAATAGTTGGAGTTTATGTCTCTGAATCTCTCACTGGACTTTAGGAGCTACCAAATTGGAAAATGCCAAAGAAATTCGCCACAGAGAACACAAAAGCAGTACAAGCACGTGAAAGAAAAAAAGCTGCTAAAGATGATGCAAGTTCCAAAAAAGAAAAAGAACAGGAGGATGCTAAGTGGAGGGATGATGATAAGCAAATCCTTAAAAAGCAACAGAAAAAGGTCAGTAACTCAAGTGTTATTTTATTTGCCAAGGATTTTAGGATTCTGATTTAATGTAGGTATTGCCAAAGTTTTCCCATATCTGAAATCTAGACCTCAACCAACATCATACATAATGTAACTGACAGAAGCTTTGTCCAATAATGCTAGTGCAAGGGGCAGGGCTCACATGATATTTAAAAACTTATTTTGGCTGTAGAAAACAAATGTCTCTATCTATTCAACTATAAATATTTATCAATTATACTAATTATTATATGCATGTAACTAGTCAAATTCAAAAAATGGTGTAAGCTTCTAGCAACTCTGATTGGCCCCAACTCAATATTACTTATGAGGAATGGAAATAATATTCAGCTTTCTTGGACTTATTTATTAAATTTAAAAATCAAATAGCCAACGTTTCGATGCTGGTTAGCATCATCATCAGGGCTGCAAAAAACGAAACAATACAAGTTTAACAAGAAAAAAGGACATTGACATCAAAAATAAAAAATAAAAAAATTTTAAAAAAAAATTAAAAAAATTGTTGTTTAACTAATTAGGGCTATGTGACGCAAAACGCGATTTTATGACATACAACACATTAAAACAAGCTAAAAATGATCACATCATCATACAAAAATTAATTAAAATCACCAAAAGATATCACAAAGACACAATCATTATCCTAAAAACGTTAACACTTAAAATAATATCCTTAATTAAAGCTCAAAAAGACTCACCCAGATTATTCTAATTGAAAATCAAACACATTGTATAACTGCATACGTTAAAAATGTTTGTATTATTATGGACTACCATCATTGCCGCAAAAATCTAAGGTACTGATTTGATGTTAATTTTCTAGGTGTGGTATGAATTTTTTTGGTAGTGTAGGTATACCTATGTTTATTATGTGTTTTTTGAACAATTACTTATTATATTATTATAAATAATATTGAGATTCTGTGTGTCTCTATTTAAATTTACATTCGGCCTGTTGTTATGGATATGACACATTTCAAGAAAAAGTCTCTTTTTAAAATTCACCTCGCAGTCCAATATTTGTACTTCTTGAAATTTAAATAAATGTCCTTCTTCAAAATGATGCTGAGCCAGTCCCGTCTTTGGTTATCCGAATTGGTTATGTTACAATCTCTGCGGTGTTCGCCTATTCTGTTTTTTAAAAACTGTTTGGTTTGACCTATGTAACAGTGGTCGCAAGCACCACAGGGGATCTTGTAGATAACGTTGCTTTTAAAATCGCTTTTTGTTTCATCTTTTACTCGAGAAAAAAGGTGTCTCACGCATTTTGTGTTGTACTGTGCGATTTCTGAGTTTGGCGTCTTAAGTTTCCTCTTGAGGGGTTCTGTTAAACCCAGCATGTAAGGCATTTTGAAGAATTTTTTATTATTGACCAAGTTGACTGCATTTGCATTGGCGTTATTAGAGGGTCGTTGGTTTAAAATCCTATTGATTAGAGCTTTTGGGTAGTCATTAGAAAGTAAAATTTTACGAAGTTTTATGAGATTTTGCTCCCAAAACATTTCATTTGAAAGTCTGTAAATTTTGTCTCTAAATTGTTTTATAATATTGAATTTTTGTTGTGTTGGATGGTTTGAACGGTAATTTAGAATTCTGTTGGAGCTGCTAGGTTTTTTTGTATAAATCCAATAAAATATTTTGTCTTTGATTTATTATATGTAGGTCTAGAAATGGCAATTTTTTGTCGTTCTCTATCTCAACTGTAAACTGGAGGTTCTCATCGACAGCATTCAAGTGAGATAGCAAGTTGTTGACCTTATTACTGGGGACCGAACACAGCGAATCATCAACATACAGGAAGAAGAAAGGTATATCAAAACGCCTTGTATAGCTTGACAAACGACAAAGTCCATTACTAAACCAGCTAGAATTGGGCTGATTGGTGCTCCCATGGGTGTGCCAAATTTTTGTTGGTAGTAGGCTCCTTGGTAAACAAAATAACTGGCCCTAAAAGTGAAGACGGGACTGGCTCAGCATCATTTTGAAGAAGGACATTTATTTAAATTTCAAGAAGTACAAATATTGGACTGCGAGGTGAATTTTAAAAAGAGACTTTTTCTTGAAATGTTTCATATCCATAACAACAGGCCGAATGTAAATTTAAATAGAGACACACAGAATCTCAATATTATTTATAATAATATAATAAGTAATTGTTCAAAAAACACATAATAAACATAGGTATACCTACACTACCAAAAAAATTCATACCACACCTAGAAAATTAACATCAAATCAGTACCTTAGATTTTTGCGGCAATGATGGTAGTCCATAATAATACAAACATTTTTAACGTGTGCAGTTATACAATGTGTTTGATTTTCAATTAGAATAATCTGGGTGAGTCTTTTTGAGCTTTAATTAAGGATATTATTTTAAGTGTTAACGTTTTTAGGATAATGATTGTGTCTTTGTGATATCTTTTAGTGATTTTAATTAATTTTTGTATGATGATGTGATCATTTTTAGCTTGTTTTAATGTGTTGTATGTCATAAAATCGCCTTTTGTCACATAGGCCTAATTAGTTAAACAACAATTTTTTTAATTTTTTTTTTTAATTTTTTAATTTTTTATTTTTGATGTCAATGTCCTTTTTTCTTGTTAAACTTGTATTGTTTCGTTTTTTGCAGCCCTGATGATGATGCTAACCAGCATCGAAACGTTGGCTATTTGATTTTTAAATTTAATAAATAAGTCCAAGAAAGCTGAATATTATTTCCATTCCTCATAACCATATTCGTGGAGGTGATACTTTTCCGTCAATATTGCTTCTTCGTTTTTTTTTGTATGTTTGATATTTTTTGCTGCTGCCAACCTTTTCAGGATAGAAAAGATGTTTAATTTTAGCTGTGCCTTCAGCTTAGACATATATATTAATTATTAAAGTTAAAAGTAGTTTCAAGTTTGCACCAGATTATTCAAATGTTTAATATTTTTGTGTATCCATAGGAAGCTGATGAACGCAAGCGTCAAGAACAAATTCAACGGAAAGCTGAAGCAAAAGCTCTCTTAGACAAAGAAATGGGATCCATCAAGATTAATAATAAACCACCACCGCCAGCTAAAGTAACAAGGGCCCAAATTCAGTCCAAAAAGGAAGAACCACCCAAGAAAAAGGAGTCTGAAAACGCTGTTACAACTTATTTGGATGAGCCATTAGTTGAAAATCTTAATAGACTGCAAATTGATGGTGAAGAAGCTAGAACCGTTGATGAAGCTATTCAAATTTTAGGGTATATGTATATTTTTCATATTAATAAGCTGTAGGCAATACCTACCTAGTAAACTTCCAAGTGATTTTTTTTCTCAAAAAAATAAATAAATGCAAGTGTTCTCTAGTGTTTATAGTAAATTGAAGTTTATTACATAATTATCATATTACCGATCTACACATTGATGCAAATTTTTTATAATTAGCAGGAAAAGAGTTGAATACCTATTATTGGAGCTAGACTTTTGATAAACCCTTCTGTGAAAGGCATTGAAATTGAGGCTTGTCATTTTTGTCTAGTTTGTTATTTAAGGATTATTTTAGTTTTCAACTGTATTCCTGCGTAGAAATAGGCAGCAGTTGTAGAAGCACAAAAACGTTTTTCTTTATGCAAAATAACTTTCAATGTTTAGTTCTGAACAGTATCAAGAGGCTCTAAAGCGTTACTGTACCGACCACTCTATAAAATTATAGCATGCTGGCATGCTCCAAAATTGACTCAACTAGTGGTTTTATATTATCATAAGAAGTTTTAAGTCGCCTTGTTTTTACACAAATATTATAGCCATAGTTTGCCCACTTTAAATTTTTGTCAACTATTAATCTATTATACTCAAATACTTAATGTTATCAACTTCAATCATCAAATATTCTGGACTCTGAATTGAAATATGGTCTATTCCAACCAGCCTATCCTTCACCATATTGATTATTTTTTCCAAATTGCCTTTTTATTGTTTTTCTCTGGATTTTGGATAGGTAACCTATTAATCGTTTGACACGACTAGACTTTCCCCTTGAAAATTTTAGTTTAAAGTAAAATTAGTAGATAAAAATGTTAAATCATTGACAAGTAAATTTTGATTTTCTTTTTCTAGTGGCCCAGCTGGCGATCATGACAAACATCCTGAGAAGAGAATGAAGGCAGCCTATACGGCTTATGAAGAGAGAAGATTGGCGGAATTGAAACTCGAAAATCCTTCCTTGAGATTATCCCAACTGAAGCAAATGATATTCAAAGAATGGCAAAAATCACCTGAGAATCCTTTAAACAAAGTTTAATTCTATGTCTTCCACTTGTATCAGGCTCTCATTTGTTTTTTATAATGAAACACATTGTGAGGTAGCTGATTGTAGAATTGTATTTACATTTATTTATGTATTTTATATCAGAGTAAAATTTACAATCTTTAAATTAACACAAGAGAACATAGAGTGGAAGTAGGTACTATTATTAGAAATTATTACCAAACAAAGCGTATATTCATGGTATACCATTTAAAACAAAACAGGCTAAATATCTGATGTTACTTTTATCACAGTTTACTTTTATTTTTTTTAAAATCGCTCGTTCACGTAATTTGATTGTGTAAGTGTTTGAATTATTCAACCCTTTAACCAACCCTTATCATTCCAAATGGAACAAGGGGTTGAGTGATACCTGTTTTAAAAAAGCGTTCAATTTTCTTTCAAATGAAAGAGAATTGAACGCTCTTTTAAAAGAGGTAACTCTCGACCCCCTTCTTCCATTTGAAATAGTAAGGGTTGGTCCCACCCCCGCCTAGAGGGTTAAAGTCGAAGTGCTAAAAATGGTTGCAGAAAACTTCCCCTTTTTTGAAAATCAAATTACGTGTACCAGCGATTTTTTTAAAAAATAAACGTGATATCAGATATTTATCCTGTTTCGTTTTAAATGGTAGACCCTGTATAGAAGAAACTGTAGGTTATATATTTCTAAAAATTTGGAGAAGCTTCTATTTTTTTTTTTTTTTTTTTTTGATTGAAAGCAGTAGGACGGAAGTTAATTTTGGTAACATTTGTAAGTCAGATAGGTATAATTGAAACGAATAATGTAATCATATATGTATCTTCAGTCATCTAAGTGCTGATTATTGTACTCTATATCTTTCACTTAATGGTAGGCGCAAAGCAAAGTTGATGTGATTATAGCTTTGTTCCAACACAGCAGAAAACCGTACAATGCATCATCTGCACAAAGCCAAAAATTTGTGCGTAGAACCCGAAATTCGTATTCAGAGTAGATTGTAGATTGTTATGGTGGGGTGTTTAGGTTATGGACTCCTCCTCACTGCGATCTGCTTAGATCTATTGTGCTTTCCCTTATATCTAGTAGGTTTCCAGATAAAAACTGCTGCACAATGCCTCGCAATTGCAAAGTATGTTTTCCGCAGGCTCAGAGCCTTCTTCACAAAAGCGGCATAGGTCTGATTCTGTTTTGCACATTTTTCTCAGGTGGTAACCCAGAGGGCAGTGACCCGTAAGGAGGCTCGGCTCATTAGCAGCCTTAGATTCGCTTTACTAAGGTCAATCAGTTCCTTTGCCTTTATTGACTGTGGCGAGATGAGTTGTTTCGCCTGCCTTAGTCCTGGAAGTGTGATCCAGTGTGAGGCTTGTTGAGCCTTTATCCAGTTTTGGACTTCCCCTATTATATGGCTTTTCGTAATGCCAAAGAAAGGTTCTGGTCCAAGGAATGGTGCTGCAGCTCCTTGTCTTGCAAGTCCGCAATTTCATTTCCCTCGATTCCCTGGTACCCATGAAAGGGTGACCCTTTTGCGGGACGTCAGCTCCTTTAGGAGTTGTTGGCAGTCCCATACCAGTCTGGACCTTGTGACAGAGCTGCTAAGAGCTCTTAGTGCTTACTGACTGTCGAAATTGATGTAGATCTTCGCTCTTTGCAGGTCTCTTTCGAGACAGTTTCTAGCGCAAAGTTCTATTGCAAATATTTCCACTTGAAATATGGTTGGGCTTTCTCCTAGGGCTGTTGATAGCCTACAAAGTGGGCCGTATAACCCTGCTCCAGTCCCTTGCTCTGTCTGTATACCAGACAGATGACCCGTTCGGGAATACAGGTACGATATTTTCTTCGTTGCAGCCCTCAATAGTCACTTTGAAGGAATGTTCAAATTCGTACCTCTGTTGCATGTGGTCAACTGGTTTTGTGGTCACACTTATGCATTATTTCATAATGCTCATGTGGCCGGCAAAGTCCCCTCCCTTTAGTTTTAGGGATTGTGCTATTCTTGAGGCTCCCATGTTGGCCTCTTTTGTCACTATTATTAAGAAGGCATTCTTCTGTGGCCTCTATGTCGAACCTGATGTGTTTATGGTCCGACATCGAGGTTTCATCAGAAACATGCCAGCCCTTTATACGGTTGCCTATAGTTGTGCTGGCCAGGGTTAAATTCAACACCTCTTGCCGCAAGCTATTCGCAAAGGTGGGTTTGTTACCTTTATTAATAATGTCTATGTCGTATACAGAGTGGTTTCGAAACCTTCATGGGACGGTTTTTGATGTGTTGGAACAAATCTTATTTAATTGAAAAGAAACTATTCATATTGTTTGTAATGAGATGTAACATATTAAATTTACTGTAAATGAATCAATAAATAAAAATATTAGGAAAAGCATAATTTCACAAAAATTAATAATTTCGGTTTGAAAACTCCTCTCCTGTTTCACTATGCATTCATTATTATTTAATCAAAAACTTCTTTAAGTGTGTTTATTGTTAATATGTATTTATTTGAGTCTTGGTGTTTTGCTAAATTGACTGGCTTGATAGCTTTGAGGAAATTGAGAACGAATACCTACTGTCCTCTCAAACAGAAATAATTGAGCAGAATTCCAGAGGTGGCTGGTATGGATGATCTGGCTGGGCTGTGCCAGAAATAATCAGGTTGTTTATTGCCGATATTAGTACTGACAATCAGTACAGAAAGTATAGCAAGTTTTTTGTAGAAATATTTGAAATAAGCACTAAAAGGCGATTACTTCTCTCAACCATGAATCCAAAATATCAAAATTCTTCAACTAACTACTTATTTATATTTCAATTCTGTTACCATCATTGACATCGATAATATATTTTTGTCTATAGAGTAAAAGTAAAAGTATAAATTTGGTGTTTCAAATTTTTACAATTTTATCACAGGTCACCTTATATAATAAAGGACTGAAAACTAAAGACAGTTTTTACTAATTTCACAATTTTAACAACGATAATTTCAATTTGATGATTGACCAGACATAATGCACCTTTTTTCTTCATAGAGATTTTATATTTACAGTTTAAAATCATTTTTCATCAAGTTTATATGTAAGGAATTCACTCATGCTGTAGAAGGCTATGGTTATGATGAATTTTTTTACTGTTTTCTTAAAAGGTTTCAACTCTATGGTTTTTATACTCTTCGAGAGTTTATTGAAAAAAGTTGATGCATAGTAATTTCTTGATTTTCCCAATCTTAAAAAGTCCAAGTTTATATTGTCCTTCTTTCTAGTATCGTAGTCATGTACATTTTCATGATTTTGATACTTGTTCAAATTTTGTTTTGCGGAGATCACTGAGATCAGATACTTATGGAGAGGAAACAACAATTGACTATAAAGTCATTTTCAATTGGGAATAAATACCTAGAAATTGCCAATTTTGGTACCTATTTGCACCCTACATTTAAATATAAAAACCATGAGTTTCTTAAGTAAAATTTTATGGTCAAACACCCCCTTCAAGTGTAAAAATAATTCTGTGATCCGTTCACCCTGATCCTCTCACTCATAATAACGATAGTTGTAATGCATCAGCAGAACATTTCTTTCAAAATAATTCATTATTTATGTACAGGGTGTTTCACGCACATCGAAACAGAGGCGTTCTAGGGTATTTTAAAGTCGATTTAAAAAAAAAAAAACGCTCGGACACGTCAATTTTGTATTGAAGGGGAAAACTTTTTGACCCCATTGGTATTTCGCTCCACCCCCTGGGTGGAGTGACTTTCACCCCTTTTTTTTTGGATAGGGAAGATGGGTCGAGTGGTACCTTGTTTCAAAGGCATTTTGATTCTCCTCACAACTGCGTATTTTTTTTGACAATCGAATGATAAGTTCTCAAGATATCGACTGTAAAAGTTGCCATGGACTAAATTAAAAAAAAAATTCTGGCCCTGTTATTCTCAAACAAACACTTTCCTGACTTTCCTCTCGGACACACGTCAATTTCCATTTTTTCGGAAGCAAACAAAGAATAAAAATTGACGTGTTCGAGAGGAAAGGCAGGAAAGTGTTAATTTGAGAATAGCAGGGCCAGAACATTGTTTTTTATTTAGCCCATACTTTCACAGCGAATATCCTTCGATTTTCCAAAAAAATACGCAGTTGTGACGAAGATCAAAATACCTTTAAAACAATGTATCACTCGACCCTAATTCCCTATCTTAAAAAGAGGGGTAAAAGTCACCCCACCCAGGGGGTGCACACTAGCGAAATACCCATGGGGTCAAAAAGTTTCCCTTGAATACAAAAATGACATGCCTGAGCGTTTTTTTTTTAAATCAACCTTAAAATGCCCAAAAAGACCTCTGTTTCGATGCTCGTGAAACACACTGTATATCATATTGTATGTACCTACCATAGTTTCCGAAATTTTCCAGTTTTATAGACATTATATTTACAAATGTTGAATATACTCTGGGGTGGTTGTGTGAAAGTTTCATTGTTGATAATGCCTAGAAAATCACTTTTGCTGTAGGAACTGCTTAAGGAAACATATTGCGTCCTGTTTTGATCAATTGGAATTTAGTCTACAACTGGAAAATCAAACAGTAATTAGAGTTTAATCGAGAAATGACACCTTGAAACTTTTAACTTTCATCACCCTGATTATTTGTCTCATTTATTGAAAATAATTTTAGCACTTATAATTGAGAAGCATGTAAAATAAGTGTTGCACAGAAAATTAATTTCCATAATTTTTTATTCAAATAGGGAATTTTGTGCATTAGGTTTGACACTGAACAGGTTAAAAAATTTATGAATTGAATGAGAAATCTTCTAGATCAACTTAAAAAAAAAAACAACAAAAAAATTATAGTAAACTTGTTTTATTGGTCTGAGGAGTACAGAGCAAAAGTATCAATTATGTTATGTCAAATAAGCATAAAACAAATTAAAAAATATAAAAATAATTTTTTATTTCAAGACTATTTCTTGGCTTTGGTGGCCTTTTCTGCGGCTTTTGTAACTTTGCCAGAACTAGCGTCTTTGGCGTTTACGCTCTTGATGACTCCAACAGCCACAGTTTGCCTCATGTCACGGACAGCGAAACGTCCAAGGGGTGGGAATTCTGAGAAGGATTCGACACACATTGGTTTGGTGGGTACCAAGGTGACGATGGCGGCATCTCCAGACTTGATGGCTTTGGGGTTTTCTTCAGTGGTCTTTCCTGAACGACGGTCAACCTTTTCTTTGATTTCAGCGAATTTACAGGCGATGTGGGCAGTGTGACAGTCGAGTACTGGTGTGTATCCGTTGGAGATTTGACCAGGGTGGTTCAGTACAATAACTTGGGCCAAGAAGTCAGCAGCTCCTTTAGGTGGGTTGTTTTTGGAGTCACCAGCTACGTAACCACGACGCAATTCTTTGACTGATACGTTCTTAACGTTGAAACCAACATTGTCTCCGGGCACTGCTTCTTGCAAAGCTTCGTGGTGCATTTCTACGGATTTTACTTCAGTGGTAATGTTGGCTGGAGCGAAGACGACAACGGTACCGGGTTTGATGACACCAGTTTCCACACGACCTACTGGTACTGTTCCAATACCACCAATTTTGTAGACATCCTGTAACAAAAAAAAAATCTATGTAACTGAAATTTCAATTTTTTTTTTTCGAAATATTTTTGTAAATTGTTGATAAAAAAATGAAATATTTAATAAGTGTTTAATTACCTGGAGGGGAAGACGAAGAGCTTTGTCAGTAGGACGAGATGGAGGAAGGATAGCATCCAAAGCTTCAATAAGGCATTTTCCTTCAGCTTTGCCTTCTTTACGGTCGACATTCCATCCCTTGAACCATGGCATTTTGCTGGAAGGTTCCAACATGTTGTCTCCGTGCCATCCAGAGATGGGTACAAAAGCAACAGTGACAGGGTTGTAACCAATTTTCTTGATGTATGAAGAAACTTCCTTTTTGATTTCTTCAAAACGGGATTCACTGTAGGGTGGTTCAGTAGAGTCCATTTTGTTGACACCGACGATAAGTTGTTTGACCCCAAGGGTGAAGGCAAGAAGAGCATGTTCTCTGGTTTGTCCGTTCTTGGAAATACCAGCTTCGAATTCACCAGTACCAGCAGCTACAATAAGTACAGCACAATCAGCTTGGGAGGTTCCAGTAATCATGTTCTTGATGAAATCTCTGTGTCCAGGGGCATCAATGATGGTTACATAGTATTTGGCGGTTTCGAATTTCCATAAAGCGATATCGATGGTGATACCACGTTCACGTTCGGCCTTAAGTTTGTCCAACACCCAGGCGTATTTGAAGGAACCTTTACCCATTTCTTGGGCTTCCTTTTCGAATTTTTCGATGGTACGTTTGTCGATACCCCCGCATTTGTAGATCAAATGGCCAGTGGTTGTAGATTTACCAGAATCTACGTGACCGATCACGACGATGTTAATATGAACCTTTTCTTTACCCATGTTGACCTGCAAGTTGAAAAAAAAAAATATTGGTTAGAACCAGTAAAAAAATACAAGCAAATAAATTAACAGTTAGTCAAACTCTACAGGTGGAAATTGGAAAATATGCACATTTGTCGAAATTAATAATTATTAGTCAAATATTGGCATTTGCCTCGTGACCTTTGCCTCAGCACAGCTCGAAACACGTTTCCTAGCACCAAAAAATAATTTCACACTTAAATTATTTGCAATTACTTCTCGGATTAGAGAAAGCGATGCACAAAATTAATCAAGATCAAGAAATAAAAGGGGATTTTAACATATGGCCGCCATTACACGTGGTAAATCAGGAACATTTTGACATTTTTCCGTGCAAAAACGGAACAAATTCACTCCGAAACAAGCTCAATAGTTAAATAAATAGTGTGCAGGTACTTACTGTTTGGAATTAAATAAATGCAACAGTTGATTTAAAATATTTATAAAAGGAACACTTGAAATTCAACAACTTAACGAGACGGCAACCGCACCAGGCGACGAGCCAGTCAAAAAGGAAGAGTCTACGATTTTGATCTCCCTCGACTCTGCCCTTTCCTTCGTAGCCGTCTTGTTCGATGACGTACCGGAAGCGCTACGAATGTTGACGAGTATGCGCATTAACCAAACAAGTCGTCAAATACTCTATTCTCGAAACGAAGCAGCACCATTCACACGACGTGCACGAATTTTCTCTCTTTGTCAGTCGTTTGAGCTTCGAGTCGAACTGACAAGGATAAGTAACTTGCTTATGGATTTAATCTACTCCTTGCTGCCTCGGTTCGAGAATCAGGTGCCGGCCTCGATCGGACTTCGAATCTTGCCACGATCACGAAACGAGGCGTTGGCGACAGGCCCGAAGCGGGAGCAATGAAGGGGGAGGAATAGGCGGGATCCGTTTTACAAAATATTTGAATAATCCTTCTAAACTAAAGTATTTTTTTCTGGAATTGTGGAATTTTTGGTGGAAAAATCCAATGCTTTTTTCAGAATATGATTCGATTTGAATTTGTTTGTCGGCAAAATATTAACTAAGTACATAAATTTCGTATTTTGAAATTCATTTTATTCAGGCGGCAGCACTTGCGTTCGTTTTAATGATGTAGCAAAATGAGACAATTAATCCATTCTATTAATATTTTTTTAAAATTCTGGCCACGGCCACGAGGACGATGCCCATGCCGGCTTAAAAATGTCTTGTTTACTAAAATATAACTTCTTTTCCTGCAACTAAAATACCACGTGCAAAGGGTGAACGCACTTGGGTTTACATTTTTTAAATATTCTTCATATTTTAAATTATAATTAACCTTGCCTTTTCATAACAAGGTCGAACAAACCTAATTAACCTTCAATTTCGTTAATTGTATTTTTTTTTATCCTACCTATAATCCCTACCTAATCCTAGTAGGTTACCCACCGCCCCTACACATTGACAAAGGGATTTCTATATTCTATTCAATTATGCAGCTAGTTGGGGCTGGAACGTGGTTGAAGGTAGCAACTGATTCAGAAATAAATAAATCATGTTTTTAGAAATGGCCAAATACCTAAATAATGCAACAAATAAAATAAATTCTAAACGATTCTGACTGATACCTATCGAAAATTTTGGAGCACCACCAAAGTTGGTGGAATGTGGAAAGCCTATTTTGGAGATCCGACTGACATTATCATAAAAGCACGTTTAGGTATCTCGGAATTGGAAATTCAACCTCAAAACTGTAAAAAACCAAACTTACGAGTGATATAGGTATCAAAAAAGCTCATGTTTATCTTGAGCTTGAAGGGGAAATTAATCAACCCCAAAACTGCAAAAAGGAATAAACTTTCAAAAAGTTTGTAGTACCTAGCTCCAAAGTTGGCGAAATATCGCTCGAGTAGATACGAGTGAAATAACAAAAAAGCACATGTTTATTCCTGGAATGAAAGCGGGAAATTCAATCCCAAAACTGTAAAAAAACAAACTTCTTGCAAAAATCTTGTAGCAACCACTAGTGGAAATCTTGCTTAAGTAGATACAAGTGAAATATCAAAAAAGCACATGTTTATCTCGGGGTTGAAATGGAAAAATTCAACCCCAAAACTCCCAAAAAAGTCGTAGTTCAATTTATATTTGGCAGCAACCACGAAAGCGGAGAAAATATGGCTTTATAAGGACACTCTGTATGAGGTGTGGAAAAGCAATTAATTTGGACAATTATCAATAAAGTAGGTACCCGGTACCCATAATGCTATTATGAAAATATTTCGCAAAATTGAAACAAAAATACATTGCCAAGACCTATTTCAACATTGAAGTTGAAATTTTGAGGAAAAATGCGAAATTTCGACTCGAAAGTCGAAGTGCCAAAGTACCTACATAAAATTTTGACATTATAGGCGAAATTTCAGGAGATACCATTGATATGATTCTATTATTTTTGCCAAGGGAAGACCAATTGATTCTTAACTTTTATGCAAAAAAAATGGAAGGATTTCTATCAGGCTCAGGACTTGAGTCTGATTTAAGGCTTTTTAAAGATTCTTTGGTAAACAACGTTTTTATTTATGCCTGCATCAGACGAGTTAGGTGAAGAAGGCAGCACAATATTTTCTTCAATGTACTGTTGAATTGTATAGCGAAGATTTCGCCGGCGATTTCTTGTAATAAATTGGTTTGTATCAGCAATAATACAGTTGAAACCTTAATTGAATTGAGCACTTTATTATTATAATTTTCTCAAGGTACTATTTGGCAAATCAAAACTGTTAAAATTGTGGAAGTGTCCTTTTATGTATGCAAATAGGCTATAGATTTTATTTCCATTTCATTATCTGCTCTTTCTCAAGTTACTCTTAATTTTAAAATATTGTAAATGATAGCATTTAGCATATAGATGCTTCAATATAAGACTAAGGGCCGGTATTAAAAAACACTTAACCGATGGTTGAGTTTCAACCTTCGGTTGAACCCTATCAATTTGCATGGACTCAACCGAAGGTTGAAACTCAACCATCGGTTCAGTGTTTTATAATACCGGCCATAAGAGAATTTGATTTGATTCGTCACATTTTTTCATTCAGGTCAAGAAAGAGTCTCTCAAGGAATAAAAAGATTGCATCATTACCACCCTTACCCTCCTGGAACTCGTACTGATCCAATGTTAGAATTCCATTGATCTTCGGAAATTCATACAACTCTAGAGGAATTTTGTTTTTTGATATCTCTTATAATTTTTGTCACCTCATAGGTATTTATTTTTCATGTAGTTTGCTACATACGCGTATCACCTATAATTGGAATGATAGGGCATTTGAGGTATCCCAAATAAGCTAATAAAGCATTATTTCAGTAGTAGATAATATGTGAAGGTATGTTAGTAGTAAATTATTCGAAAAGTGAAATCATTCACAGACAATATTTCACAACCAATTTTGGTACTGGTTTAGATAAAAATATTTCATTAAAAAAATAGGTGTTCATCACATAGGCCCCCGTGATAAGTTGCATGAGCTGAAAAGTGCTTCTCCAAAGTGTCCTGAATATCCTCAAAAAACTTCTAGACCAGGAGTTAGACGGACATGAGTATGCAAAATGTGAGGACCGGCAAAAATGCTCAAAACCCTATTCCTGTGATCCTAAAGAATGGAAAAGTACATGTTGCTGGCAGCTGGAGTGGTCCCTAACTCTCCTGCCATTCCCCAATGCAAAGTTATATAGAGAATTTCATACATCTGTCAAAACTGGTATTCCAACAATAAATTGACATGTTTTGATTTGAACCAATCAGATTGTAGTTACGCGATAATTTGCACTAGTGCAAATTATCAGAAAATTGCATACTAACTGGTGCGAAAACTGGTGTTTTGACATTTTTTGACAAAAAATTTAAATTTTTGATTTATGAAATTCTCTCATTAAATACAACTCGTGCAATGGAAATATATTTATAATTTTCGACAAATTTGCACTCATGCGTTTTTAACTGAAAAAAGCCACGTGCACTACGTGCACTCGTGCTCTTTTTCAACTAAAAGTGCATTCAGGCAAATTTCCCAAAAATTATCAATAATTTCCATTGCACTAGTAATATTACTATTGAGAATTTCATACATCTGTCAAAACTGACATACCAACAATAAACTGACATGTTTTGATTGTTGATTTGAACAAATCATATTGGAATTACTTGATAATTTGCACTAGTGCAAATTATCGGATAATTGCATAGTAACTGGTGCGAGAACTGGTGTTTTGACATTTTTTGACAGAAAAATTTAATTTTTGATTCATGAAATTCTCTCATAAAATACAACTCGTGCAATGGAAATATATTTTTAATTTTTAATGAATTTGCACTCATGCATTTTTACTGAAAAAGGCACTCGTCCACTACGTGCACTTGTGCTCTTTTTCAACTAAAAATGCATTCGAGCAAATTCCCCAAAAATTATTGATAATTTCCATTGCACTCATTATATTACTATTGAAAATATCATCATTTCACAATAATTCCTATTGATCCCATTGCAATTCTGCTCCAAAATATACACAAGTAAAAGAATACTGCGAGATGTACAGGGTCATCCAACGACGACTGAACATGGGCTTATTTTTGACCTTCCCTGTTCCTGTTGTTTTGAAAAAATTCAAAATAGCCATTTTTTTTTCTGGAGAATACATAAATGGTTCAAAAAAATTACCATTTTTGAATCCTCCAGAAAAAAAATATGCCAATTGGCTATTTTGAATTTTTTCAAAACTACAGGAACAGGGAAGGTCAAAAATAAGCCCCTGTTCAGTCGTCGTTGGATGACCCTGTACATCTCGCAGTCTTCTTTTACTTGTGTATATTTTGGAGCAGAATTGCAAAAATATCCAACAAGTGGTAGGTAATTTATTTTGAGTGCTTGGAAAGAAAGCCTTAGGTACAATCAATGGGAATTATTGTGAAATGACTTGAAATTCTGATATTTTCCATATAACTTTGCATTGGGGGATGGCAGGAGAGTTAGGGACCACTCCAACTGCTGGCAACATGTACTTTCCCATTCTTTAGGATCACAGGAATATGAATATGAATTTGAGCATTTTTGCCGGTCCTCACATTTTGCATACTCAACTACTTGTAGCGCCTGCTCTATTCAGTGAAATCAGCCTGCGCCATCAAGTTTTTTTTTTCCTTGGCTTGTTACCATCCATCATTGAAAAAACTCTATTTTGAGCCTTGTCTTTCAGTGTAATCCTGCAGTTAATTTGGGGCATAGTAACTTTTGCAACCCTTCTTTTTGAATAGTACATGACCTCAAATAAAATACCACTCATTTTAGAAAAAAAAAAACATATGCTTTATTTAGGTACAATTCAAGTAACTAATAGAAAAACTATTCGTTCCTTTGGTCCTTCAAAGTTTGATATACTGCTAAAGTCACAACCTCCCACTTAACTGCATGGGAAATTTTTGTAAGGCACTAAAACATAGGAATGCCAAAATGATTTTTTTATTAAAGGTAGGTATCAAAGTAGTCAGAAATGAGGGTATTTATAATTTTTTTGTTTTTGTGTATTTGCACGAGTCTTCAAGAAAATATGTCACTTTTCATAGATTTTTTTTAAATTAAAAACTATGAACAGACCAAAGTTAAATTCTTGACTACTTTGAGACAGATTTTGTACCTCCAATGTAAAAAAATCAAAAAATGTTCAATTGACTTTATCACATTGTGGTTTGAGATCAAGTATTAAAGAAAACATAAACTTAAATAGGTGAATAAAAATATAAAAGCTAAAATCTGATTGGGAGAATGATTCAAAATATAATAATGCTACTGTATGAGCCTTAGCTAACAATAAACGAAATAAATAAATTCTAGTTATCAGAACAATAGGCTGCTACAGGAAATTTTGCCCTAAACCATTCCAGATCATTCTCCATGAACGATAAATTATAAAAAAATAGAAAATGCTAACACCTAAATAGGTAAAACGTTATATTTCTGGAACAATATATTATCATTCGACACAATTTTATTATTTGTTTGAACTTGATGAAAACGTTGCAATGGAAGAAAAATTTTGCACTTCCTTGATCTTTGAAAAAGTTCAACAGATTCGTCTAAAACTTTTCTTAAAGCCTTATTTTTCCCTAAAACTCCAGCCAGAAAAAATATTATCAAACAAAACGTTTTACATCTTATAAAAATACAGTATGTACAAGAGCCTTAAAATAAAACTTAAAGCTCAATTTCATTTTATGATAAATAAAAATCTTTTCTTCAAGATATTTTGGTGCTTCTTTTAAACCTAAAAAATATTTTACAACATATAACATTTTTGTAAAAACTATTAAAACAATTTGTCTTTAAATATCCGACAGTCATACTTAAATATTTAAAATATATAATTTATAACATTTTATTGCATTGTACTTTTCATTATACTAAGAGATTCTTTATTATCCTTTCTCTGCTTCTTATTTTTCAAATCAATGACCGAGAAAACCCCAAAGCTAGGAGGCCAGCTCATATTGAAGGCTATTCCCCATTCAAACAGGTAGTATCAAAATTTTATGTATAGACAATAAAGAACCCCATTGTATTTTTTTTGTGCAATAACAAAATATATTTTCTACTTGAGCATGGAGTGAAAATAAATAAACAATAAATTAAAGTTATTTAGAAAACGAAAAGAAATTAATGAAACTGCATACCAATACATACATGTGGGGTAAAATTAAATAAAATAAGATCATATAAATAAATCGTAGAAACTGATATTTTGAAATTGCATTGTCTGATTTTAAATCACTTTCCATACTAATTTGATACAAGGCACTTTCAGGTGGAACAAATGAAATGAGGCTTTCAAAAATACAATAAAACAAATTTATCAATATTCATCACAATTTGCTGTATGAAAAGTGAAAACAAATCAAGACTTATTAAACTAAAGTAGCACCAGATCGACTTTGGGACGGTCTAGTGTTGTTATTGTCATTTTCTTGTTCCTTATTTTCATACCAGGTGTTCATTTCTTCAGAAAACTGTTCGGATACAGCTACTGGGCTCAGTTCAAAACTGTTGTTTAGACTGGAAGTTTGCGTTGATTCTTTAGCAGGACTGAAAAAAGTAAATAAATGATTTCTTAACTGTAAAAAATGGAATAATGGTGTTTTGAATTTAGCATCTTATGACACTTCAATTCTATATAAAACACTAATTTATAAATAGAATTCAGGTATTAAAAACCAGAACAGGTCATTTACCATCAAACTAAAAGTAGATTTTCAATTGAAGCATGGTCTTTATTCAGGGTTGGCATACACAAAAACCCATTTCAAAAACTCACTTGGTTCCTGACACAAAACACACCATCAATATTGAGAAAAACCCAGTAGGCTTTGGGTTTTTTGTGTCAAAAACCAACTCATACGGAACTGATTTCTACCATAGTGCCAAATATCAATCCAAAATTTAAGATTATTCACATTTTTTATGAAACAAAATAAAAATCCTAAGGAAAAATAGTCAACTAATAGGTGTTAATCCAATCATTCTTAGATAAAAAAATAAAAATCAAAAGGAACTCTTCTCAAGATAATTACTACTAGTAGTTAGTTAATTAAAATCTTGATTAACCGGTTTGTAGAGAATTTATTTGGCTTCAATTAGAGCTTGATTAGACTGAAATCGGACGGAAATTGACGGAGCTGTAAGGCAAAAACTGTCTCATTGTCATTTTTGGAAAATAAATTCACTTTTGAAGTTTCTCAGGTGCAAAACTGAGGAATTCAAATTGAAAAATTAATTACAAGGTTTGTAGAGAATTTAATTGGCTTCAATTAGTCTAATTGCGTTGAAATCGGATGAAAATAAAACGAGCTGTGAGGCAAAAACCTCGGCAAAAACTATCTCAGTGTCATTTTTGGGAAAACTTCAATGTTCGATAAATTCAATTTTGAAGCTTCTCAAGTGCAAAACTGCTGAGACCAAATTAAAATCTTGATTAATAGGTTCGAACACAATTTAATTGGCATTAATTAGAGCTCAACTATGTCGAAATCAAATGAAAATTAACGGAGCTGTAAGGCAAAAACTGACTCAGTGTAATTTTTGGAAAATGTTCAATGTTTTTTCAAGTGATTTTAATTTTGGAGTTTCTCAGGTGCAAAACTGTTGAATCCAAATTAAAATCTTAACTACCAGGTTTGTAGAGAATTTAATTGGCTTTAATTACATTACAATAGGATAGAAATTACCGGAGCTATGTGAGGCAAAAACTGACAAGTGTAATTTTTGGCAAATTTTCAATGCTCGATAAATTCAATTTTGAAGTTTCTCAAGTACAAAACTGATGAAACCAAATTAAAATCTTAATTGCCAGGTTTGTAGAGAATTTACTTGGCTTGAATTACATTGAAAATTACAATGTTCGATAAATTCAATGTTGAAGTTTCTCAGGTGCAAAACTGAGGAATCCAAATTAAAATATCAATTATCAGATTTGTAGAGGATTTAATTGACTTTAATTAGAGTCTAATTGCGTTGAAATTGGATGGAAATTAAACAAGCTGTGAGGCAAAAACTGTCTCAGTGTGATTTTTGAAAAATTTTCAATGTCCGATAAATTTAATTTTGAAGCTTCTCAAGTGCAAAACTGCTTGAACCAAATTAAAATCTTGTTCAATAGGTTTGAATACAATTAAATTGGCTTTAATTGGAGCTTAACTATAACGAAATCGGATGAAAATTAACGAAGCTGTGAAGCAAAAACGATTCAGTGGCATTTTTGGCAAATTTTCAATGTTCGATGATTTCAATTTTGAAGTTTCTCAAGTGCAAAACTGTTGAAACCAAATTAAAATATTAATTAATGGTTTTGTAGATAATAATTCAATTGGCTTCAATTTGAGTGTAACTACGTTGAAATCGGATAGAAATTAACGGAGCTGTGAGGCAAAACTGTCTCAATGTCGTTTTTGGCAAATTTACAATGTTCGATAAATTCAATTTTGAAGCTTCTCAAGTGCAAAACTGTTGAAACAAATAGAACATTTTGTCTACTCATACTCATACTCAATATGCTTTATTGTCCAAAAAATATAAATTTTTACTGACAAAGCGGATAATATAATACATATACTAATTTATATACTAATCTACATTGATAGTTATACGAATTACACAAAATCACATAAAAATCGAAAAATTCCTAAAATTAACATAAGGCCAAAGAATGACTAATTAAAATGAAATAAATAAATTGAAATAATATAAAAGAAACAAATCAAAACACAAAACATAAAAAATTGGAAATACGTGTATAGGTCTATAAAAAATAAAAAACAAGACAATCATAAAACATCACCATAATATTCCTCCAAGCTGTAGAATGCTTTCTCCAATAACATACTCTTAACATTCGTTCGAAATTGGGTATAGTCCGATACTGATTTCAAATCATTACTGAGGTGATTGAAAATTTTTTTGCTTTCAAAGAATATATAATGTTTAGTCAGAGTAGACTTTGGAATTGGTAAACGTAAGTTATTATTAGTGTGTGTTCTGGTATTGTACCTTACCTCCTCAGGTTCTAGACCAGAATATTTTTTATGTATGAGACAAATAGTTTCTAAAGTGAACAAAGATGGCACAGTTAATATTTTTTCTTTTTTAAACAAAGATAGAATCTAGAAGAGTAAACACAAAGATCCTACAAAAACTATCACAATACCCAGCAAAAACCCAATAGAAATTTTCAAAAAGCTTTTTTGCCAACCCTGTCTTTATTGTACAGCTTTCCATCATGTGAATCAATGAGGAAACCAATTATATATAGTTCTGGGAATTGACAAACTCATTCCCCAGACATCAAGAGAAGCCACAAAGCCAGTATCAGTAGGTACTTGCAATTTTAAATAGGCATTAAATTCATCCAGAACTTACTTGTGCTGTATATACCTTTGAGGTACTCTTCCAGGATGCCAATTATTCATATTCCTTGCATCCTCGAAATTCTCACTCAAATTCTTTTGGCAGATTATTTCGCTCGACACCTGACTTAAATTCAAGTTCCTTCCAGACTCTTTTTGGGGCGACTTCTTAAACTTGGTTGAATATTTATAAAAATCGGACATCTCGAAAGGTTTGGTTTCCTCGTGGTACGGTTTAACAACTCCTGCTTGCACTACAGTGCAATTTCTCAAAATATTGTTATTCAATAATTCCATATTAGGCGGTTCAGGTACTCTGGGCGAAGGATTTGACTCCGCAGGTATTTCTAGTAGAGGTTTGGGTGATAACGGTGATTGCAATGGATGGGCCACATGATGAGAGACATTTTGAAAGGGGATTGAGTGGAGCGATGGGCTTGAATGGGGGGACAATGCAGGAGAACGATGGAGCGGCGGCGGAGGTGGTGTGTGAGAAATATATTTTTCTTCCGGAGCCAATGTAGTGGGAACAGTTGACTGTGGACGGGATATAATGGAATGAGTAGGAGATATAGGGCCATCTAGTGATGTTTCCAACCTAAAAACAAAATATGGAATGTTGTAAGTGCTTATAGATTTGTTTGATCATTAAACGATCAAATTTTTAGGCACTACAAAAAATCAACACACGGCATAGTAGTGGTAAACATCCACCGTATCTGCGATTGTGCAACAAATGATCGTTTCTATACAAATAATTAAAGTTAAATGCCGCCCACTGCATAAAAGTGCATCTTCTTAACATAGAATCGTATGTAGAAGAGTTCGATGTTGCGGTTCCAGTAAACAGACTTCATGTATTTCTTGTTTTCAGGAAAAATAGATCTATCAACCTCAGTATCTTCTATATCAATTAACATTATTTAATGAGTTTAAATAGTAATCCACAACTTATTGTGAAAAAGATTTGAACCAATTATCGCGACTACTTTTAAGGGAAAAGTCATGCACATTTATGTAAACAGTATTCTAACTAGTGAAGTGAGATTTGTTCATAATGATTGCCCTATGATGTAAGATGATTTTTTGACCACTGTCACGGCCTCAATAATAATTAATGTAAATAAGTCATAAACAACCACTATAATTAATTCTTGATTTTTGTCTAAAATCATTGAATTTTATCTCTTGATTCTTTTGACAAATAAATACCATTAGATAAAATATATTTATATTCAAATAAAATGAAATGTTAACATGTTTTAGAACTGATAATTTTTAAAAAACCTTTTTCGGCATGCTTAAATGTATCAAATGTTTAATAAAATCATTGATTTTTTGGCCCCTTATCTGGATTCCGTTTCACTATCATAATAGACATGCAAACTATAATGTTTTTTTGTCAATTTGTATGTATGACCATATAGACTGCCATAATCAATACATAGTCCAAAGTCATACTTTTTACCTTTTTACGAAAGCTAATGCGTAATATGTGGGCAACATTTAGCATCAAAACAGTTAAAATGTACAAAAAAGAAAAAATAAAATAAAATGATTTGGTTGACAATAACTCACCATTCTTTTTCCTTATGCTTTCTGACGCCTGCATTTTCCTTGAAACTGCGGTTATCACTTTCACATGAAGAAGTATCATCACTGGGATAAACACTATCAATTGTCTGGCCTACACTTCCAAGTGATTGAGTTCGTACCAATTGTCTGTGATCTTGAGATCTTCTAGTTGTTACCTTAATGAAAATAAAATAGTAAATTAATTACTTATTAAATTGACAAACAAAAAATCTCTGTGCCATTATTCTTTTGCTACACAATTATTGTTGTTCCAAAATTATAAAAACAGAAGAGAAAACTGTTAAATCTAAATTATTCCTGACACATAAATAGACAATTACAGGAGGAATAAGCTCTAGACTGAATGGAAAGTCATATAACTTAACACAAACTAATTATTCAATAGGTTGCACAACTTTCTGACCACTGTGTGTTCAAGTTGTCTTAAAAACACAGAGTTTGTTTTTAACTGGAGCTTACCTGTGGCGGTTTAACAAAGGCGGTTTTAACTTGATCATTATGGGCCGGCATTGTAGCTAAAGTGGCTGATTTGCTATCAACTGGTGATATTTTCCTCTGTACCCTTTTATTTCTTCTTCTATCTAAGCTTCCAAACCTGCAACAAGAGATTTGAATAATATTAAATATTGAATGAATAGGACAGTAAGGGAGTATATTATGAAGCAAGCATAAAGACTATAAGTATGTATGTTTAAAACTTATCAAACGTTTGCCATCTGCCTGAGGATTTAATTATTTGAAAAATGCTTATAATGAGCAGCCAAAGGTTTACTTGAAAAAGTTTATTAAATAAAACTCACAACAGCATTGAATAGTTAAGAGAAAATATTAAAACTCTTGAAATTCTCAAAGCAATCGAGTATGTATGATAAATGCAAAATACCTACTCCTAGGATATGCTATGCGAAATGCGTAGGAAGAGAGCAAAGTTTTGTCAATGCAAATGAATCTTAACTTGCTCTACACCGAGATATTTATATAAACGTAATACTTTAACCTTTTGTCTCTTTGCCAACTACTATCCAGAGTATTAGAAGAGTAAACCCAAAACAGCTCTCCACTTTCCGATCGTTTCCAACAACCTCCCAATCCAGGATGCATCCCATTGTTCTCGTATTGCTGATGTGGTTGCAAAGGATGTGGACTTTTGAATGCACCAGCATCTACGGTATTTCTATACGTTGTACTTCCATCACCTGTAAATCTATTGAACGCAGGCTCAGCATAGCTAGTGTGATGTGCCGCGTAGTATTGGACTTTTGCATTGCTGCCAGTACTCATTGTAGGACTAGATTGACGAATCGGCACATATTGTTGGCTCATTCTTGAATAATTCTGCGAGGCTCGTTGCATTGCTAAGCTGTGCTGAGACAAAGGACTGTGGGGTAACTGAGGACTGTCCCTTCGCATCTGTGGACTGTGTTGAGATATTGGACTGTGTTGGGATCCAGGACTATGCTGGGATATTTTAGGATTTAGCTGGGAATAATTTGGTATTTGGTAGGATACGTATTGTCCAGGTTGCAATACATGGGCAGTATGTTGAGCCATTTGAGGACTTCCTGATGATGGGCTATGTTGCTGAGGATACGTCATCTGATGCATAAGCAATTGCTGATTATAAGAGGCATGAGCATTATTGTAAAGCAAATTTTGCGGTTGATAGTTGTAATGTGGCATTGAGTCCTGCCTGAAACAGAAAAATACAAAATTACAATTGAAAGTGTGATAGGAAATCTGTAGTAAAATAATAATAATTGTAATAATGATTTCTCGAATGCCCCAGAGAATAATAAAGAAAAAAACAACATCCACTACGGCGAATGGCGTTTGGCCGAGTCTATATAATAAACCTCCAAAATTGCCAGCAAAATTTATATACAACACCGAAATTAGTTAAGTAACAAAACATCTTAGATGTGCACCAGTAACAGTTTAAAATTGCTCCTTTACAAAACGTTGAGAAACACGCAACTAACAATTTAAAATTTATATCAACAATCATAGGATTAAAATTCATATGCATAAAAACATTGAATTGGTGTATTCTATTAAAGTTTTTCTGGAAGCGTAATCACTATTGGTGATTCTAAAGACTAAGATAGAGTCTGATGAGCATAAAGAGTAATATGATTCCTCTCAAAAATGAAAAGCCATGGGAAGGAACCCTCAACTTGCTTTGTTCATGTGTAATAAACTCCATTTTTGTCTTATAATTCCTGGCATATTGCTCAGGACTTTTAAACTGCATTGATATTTGGCAATAAACATGTATACAAGGAAAGAAAACTAATTCAAGAAATAAATTAGAAACAATAACCTGAAACAAAATATGCCAAGTTCAAAACAGGTACAGAGTTTATCAGGCTTTAACTAATATTTTTGAAACTGTTTCCATTTTCATATAGCTATAATATTATTGCGTTTTAAGTGCGTTTAGTTAATAAAAACTATTGAATATTTTTTATCTAGATAAATCCATACCTCGGTCCATACTATACAGAGCCTAGTATGTTTTGTTTTTATTTCCATTATTATTGTTAAATATGTTTCTTTATAAGGAAAAAAACCTTTCATGCTAATTAATATCATACCTGTCAATATAATCATTGCAAGCATTCACACTCAAGCGATAAAATCCAGAAGTTAATTCCTCTTCAGCCTTTGGATAAAGAAAATGAAGATTTTCTGAATTTCTGTTGTAATGCATTTGCCTTGAACTATTAGCAGATGGATATCTAGGTTCTGGATAAGTGTCCGCTGGGCTGAGCATATTTAAACTATGCTTGCTTGATGTCTGACTATTCTTGGTTTCTTGTTTTAAATAAGTTTCATTTGTCATTATTGATATATTGTCATCTAAAAAATACATATATTAAGTAATTTGATACTGTATTTTATTGTAGTGAGTTTGGTTGTAAGGAAAAAAATACCAGACTCTCTTCACGAACAGTAATAAATAAAACATTGTACAAGACTTAAAGTATTCCTTTAGAAATTCTAGAGTTGTAATTCAATAAGTTCGTATCTGGAATTGTAGCTCAAGTATAATATTACCTTGTTGCTCCATTTTTGATTTTTTGTTTTGCAACATAATTTGTTCAGCAGCTGCTTTGTCTTTCAGCACAATTAATTTGTCTTCAAGTGTTTTCACTATATGTTTATGTTTTGCATACTCGGCACGATGGTGTCTTTTTACAGTCTGAAAAATTTGTGTTAAATTTAAACATACCAGTAAAGTTCATTAACTGTGTTTATTTGATGTGTTATTTTGATAGATTATAACAAATTCATATTGGGATAATTAAGTGTTGAGTAATTGAAACAATGGAAGTCCCCAGCAAAAGATTTTGATGAATATTAACAATAAAGACAACGATTCAATTGAGAAACTGAAAACTGACATTAATAAGACTAAAAAACACAAGTATTTTACCTTTCTCATGTTTCTATCCTCAGATAGTCCCAGGGCAGCATCTCGCAAATTTTTATGTAGCTGAAGTTCCAATTCTAAATGTGCTATCAACTGGTCTTTATTACTATTCAATAAGTTCTCGTTTAATTGGTAAGCAGTCATCACTTTTCTTCTTATAGTAGGAGGATTTTCGCCGTATTCTAAAGGCATCTCTGATGGAGTAATTCCAGTTAATTCGGCCTCCTAAAATAGTATCAGCTGATGGAGAAACCAAACTTAAAAAAATTACAAAGTAACTAGAGCCGTGTTTGTTTTTGTCATTTTTTTCCGTCGATTGATGATGTATTTATTACGAAATAACCACGTAAAAGTGCTAGCTTAAGACTTGAATTAGCACACATACATCGAATCGACCGCACAAGAACGAAATTCGCATGCACATATTTAGTGCTAATTCAGTACTTCAAAAATGACACCCCGAAACGAATTAGTATCACATCATCAAAGAGCTAGTGTGCTGGCTCAGTATTTAGATTAACGAACATTATCACCGATGATGCAATGAAACTAAATTAGCACACATTAAGTGCTAATTTCGGACGTTAGTTTGGGTTATTCGGGCGGTCGATTCGATGTATGTGTGCTAAATCAAGTCATTGTTAGTTTTTAAGGCATGCCATAAATGTACTAAATTAGCACTAAATATGAGGTACTAGATTTTCAAAGATTCGACCTTATGCAACTAGGGTGTGCCAGCTTAATCTTAAGCTGGCACACATGCACATAATATTTTTAAAAATAGAATCTAAAAATGCTTAAAACAATTAATGAACTAGATATCAATAGGGGGTTGAAAATTGGCAAAATACACATATCACTTTCATTACAAATCCCAACAGTCTGCATTAATCCAGTATTATGCTACAAAGGCGAAATTAAATTACACAATAAAAGCCTGCTGAAAATTTTGGAAATTAAAGACTAGATGGTACTTGATATTACAACTAATCTACAAAACATTAGACCAAAAAAATTATGAAAAAGAAGCTAGTCCTTCCTCAATACAAGTGTACCTTCAGCTTTACTGGAAATACGGTCACCTCGAGGGGTTATTCACTAAGGGAAAAATGTGATAAGATTTCGGAATTAGAGCGATTTTGAGGAATTTCGGGTGATTTCGAAAAGATTTCGAGGGATTATTCACTGTGACAATATTTCAGATTGAGACCAATTTTGAGGGATTTTGAAGGATTTCGGGTGATTTCGAAGGATTTTGGTCGATTTTGAAGGATTTCGGGTGATTTCGAAGGATTTCGGGTGATTTCGGAGAATTTCAGGTGATTTCACAAATATTTTAATTTTATTTTAGAATGTTACTTATCTTATAAGTATATTTGAAAGTGTATTAGTATAAACTGGAAAACGGCCGCGTTAACCGATTTATGAATTTTGGGCCAATTGCGAGGGAGTTTTGGGTCTGCGGAAAGATTTCTGAGAGATTTCGGAGTGATTTTGTGGATTTCGGTAGGATTTCGGAAAGATTTCGGGGATTTCGGAAGAATTTGTGACACGATTTCGGAGAGTGATAACCCCTCGGGTCACCTCTAACAAAACTTACTTGAATACATAATTGTTTCAGGTCGTGATTGAATTTGACCAATTTTTCCTCAATCTGCTTTTTACGTTCCTCAAGAATTGCCTTTCTAGCAGCAGTGTTGATGTTAGTTGCCACCATTTTTTCGCTTTTTGTGTCACTAGAAGTGGAAGCTATTGCTATACCATCCTCTAAAAATTGAATCATTATAGAACTGTGTTATAAAAGGGCACATACTAAGGAATGGAAGGAAATATTAAATAAAGCTGATAAAATTTATAGTTATTTGTTGATAAGAAAAACAAAACGATTTTGTTAAAAGTACTACTTTTTACTGATAAAAGTAGTGATTAACTTACCCATTTTTAGATTATTTTCATTATCTTATGTTATCCATTTGACAAAAGCCGTGCATGAATGACTGACATGAAACAAATAAATTATTAAGGCACAAATTGGACAGAATCAGTGCTTAAAAATTACATCTCAAAGGATCAATTTTCTGTTGATGTTTTCCAAATGGCCAATGCAACAAGTATTTAAATAGAACAGAATAATTTCTCATTCATTCTTATGGCTTTCTCCTTAAATTAAATGCAAGTCCAGTCCATCAATCATCTGTTGGATTTATGAGTTTATGAAAATGATATTTAAATGCATGAAACCTGTTAATTTGTTTAGTTACATTTTTATTTATTTACCCTTTTTATTATTACATCCTTTCAACCAAACCACCATTTTCAGGATTTTCTAAAAAAAAACTAACAAAAGAAATGACATTTGACAACCTGTCGAGTGTCAAAATCACTTCCTTCCACGACGTAGGGCACTTTCTAAAATTCACCGGTTTCTGAACCGGTGTGATACTGGTTTAATAGTTTACTCACCAAACCATTCCAAAATGTACCGGGTTTTTACCGGTTGATCAGATCATCTTGCAAAATTGACCCGAATGATCAGCTGATTTTTTGAGACTTTTTTGACGTTCATCAAAGTCTATGCTTTGAATGGGCACTATTCAGGTTTCTCTAGGAAATTCAAGAATACCTAGATCTAGATAATGAATAGGCCTAAAATCGAGTAAGTTGTTAGGTGCAGTTAATCAAAAGTAGTACAAGAGGGGCACTTTCCGAATTTCACCGATAAATTGACCTGTTAAATAAACCGGTAGCTGTCAAAAAATTCCGGTAAAAGTCAGATGCAAGCCCGGTTACAAGATTTTTCTGGTGCATTTTGGAACGCTTTGGTGTCAAAGTTTGGTGGTGTTGCTTATTGTTTTTTGGAATGGGTTTTTTTGTGGGATGCAGTGAGGTTGGTATCTATTTTTATTATTTTTAACAGTCAACAAAGGGTAGTTTTCAGTACAATTTTTGTAGATTATGTGAGCTGAGTATTTGGTTTGTCGAGTTCATCATTAATAAAGATGAAATTGTTCACGCCCACTCACAAACATTTTTTTATTCTGCAATCTGCAAACAATAAGTATTCCTTTCAAGAGTTTGAAACACTAGAGCTACTCGCTCCGGTGTTAGTCAACCCCGATTTGAAAGGAACAGATGGGTCGGCTTTCATATATTTGAATGGTTTGATTCGGGCTTGAGCGCCTCAGGTGCAAGAAACACTTTCCGAAAGAAATAAGTGCGTGATGCCCCGGAGCTGTTTCGCAGCTCCTTCTAGGTGTGAAAGGAATACAACTATTAGTGCCAATTCAAAGCAATTAAATTAATGTACGTCAAAAAAAAAGTGTCAAAAAACATCCAACCGAAAAAACCGACAAAAATTCCTGGTGGATTCGGTGCCTCACCGGTTTCAAACAGCTGATCATTCCGGTCAATTTTGGAACGAACGATCGGGTTCAACCGGTAAAAAGTCGGTACATTTTGGAACGGTTTGGTGAGTAAAGAGTAAACTATTAAACCGGTATCGCAACCTTTTTTAACCCTACAAAAGAGCAGGGTTCGCGAGGTTTATTTATACGGTTAAGGGCGGGTATTATAAAACTACTTTGAGAGTTAACTTAAAGTTAACTTCTGGAATTACATGTAAGTAATTCAAAAAGTTAACTTTGAGTTAACTCTCAAAGTAGTTTTATAATACCCGCCCTAAATCAGCTGATCGCTTTTGAGATTTTTTTTTCCAATTAAAGTTAGAATCAGAAAAGAAAAGAACGCTTATTGACCCCTTTATTATCACAAGATTTCAGCTGGAGGTAAAAAAATGAGAATAAGGGTACCTATGTTCATTCAACTGGACACGTTCGAAAAGTATAACTCGGGTCGGGTAATCCTAGGAACAGCTGATTGGATCTACCCTACCATTTTAGATTAGTTTTCGTAATCGCCTTTTGACTCTCTACGGGCATTATCAGCAGTCGTTCGTTAAATTGTTGAAATACAACCGTCAGCACCAAATTTGAACACACCAAAGCATTCCAAAATGCATCAGAAAAATCTTGCAACCGCACTTACACCTACCTATTACCGGAATTTTTTGACAGCTACCGGTTTATTTAACCGGTCAATTTTTCGGTGAATTTTGGAAAGTGCCCGTACCGTTTCCACAAACCGTTTCCAAGCCGTTGCTCGGAAAGTTTTTGACAGAAATATCGGAGAATTTTTTATTTTTTTTTTGTAATTTACCAACTAACCGAGCAAAATAGCGACCGGATAGCGTTCGACACACTTCAGTTATCAGTATGCTGGATCTCGCTCTAGGTTGTTTATAAAATTTAGGTTCCGTATCTTGGGCCGAATTTATAGTCGGTCCTCGAGGTTTCCTTACACCTAAGGAAACCTTGAACGTTTAGAAATGACATTTAATGTGTGTAAGCATAAGAGACTCATGGCTAAAAATAATCGCGGAAATTCCCAACCTTTTCTGGTTTTAGTGGTTTTGTAATACTGGATTTGTTGCATCAGACATAGCTTTATTCTTTTATTCGTGTGTATTGCTTAGTTTTCTACTCTCTAGTATTTCCTAGTCAAGTATTTGTATTGTTTTTTTTTTTTTTTGTAAATCAAATAACTAATTAGTTGTAAGCTTCCTTTACATGTAATTACTAGAAATTAGTGTTTGTGATGAGTAAATAAATCAATAAATATGTAAATAAATAAATAAATTCCTTTACTGGCTTGTTTTACTAAGCGCATGGAAAATATAGGAAACTTGCAGTGTTTTTCTGGATTATGATTATGAAAATCTAAATTAGGTATCACTTATTTGGCTTTGTGAGATAAGCTTAATTTGAATGTCCATATCGTTCTAGTACCAACCTATTAAACTATTGAATAATAGAGAAGTAGGTAGAGACAGTAAAAAATAAAACACAAAATAGTTTTAGATACAAGATCTTTTCCTTTAGGAAAGCGATGAAATTTATATTTTTGAGTGCTCGCTTTTTGATCAAAATAGTTGTTATTACACCCATACACAGCACATCTCATTTCAGGCATATCTATTTTATAAATGTATCTTCTTGTTGCACTAAAAGAAGGTAAAAGAAAGGCATACCTACACATTTTAATATAATATCTATGTGGGTATTTTAAAATTACCTTGCTGATAAGCAGAGAACAAACAAAATCGTCTTCGTAATTAGCTAACCACTCAAACTTTTGAAGTCTGCTTAATTTAAAAAAACACAGTTTTCGAAGGAAATAACCTCAAAATAACAATTTTTCACGTTTGAAAATGCAAGGAAAATGCACTGTCATAATAAAAAACAAGCCGATCAAGGACTGCGTGACGTCACTCGCATTCCTCCATGTTCAATATTTTTATGAACGTAAGTCTTATGGGATTTAGCAATCCCTTAGGATAATCAAGCATAATCTTATGCTGGATTATGTGATGTGCCAATTGTGTCATACTCCCCTAACTCCCTACCATCAAATTTTGGGATACTCGAGAATCAAGAACACTTAATTTCCGACCGAAAATCACCTTTTCTACATATGAAATCGACAAAAAAATTAACTCACTAGCACAGCCTGAATCGCAAGCTTTCCATCGAGGTCTGCAGGTGACGCCATCACTATAAGTTGCTGATAGTGACGTCACTCGCAGGCCCAGAATTTGCAAGGATGATACACACTACTACTACAGGATGGCCTATCCTCATAAGGCTTGTGTGTAACAAATCCCCCCCTTCTCCCCGCTTCTGGGAAAATACCAGTTGTGACATAGGCAGCATGTTATTTTTCGCCTTGACGTAGGCTGTTTATAAAGCTGACGACTTAGTTATGACGTTGTCAATGGTTGCACCACCAAGAACGAGGCCGATAAGCACTCCTTAGAGTGTGTATTCTCCTTGGATAAGCAATCCTTGTAGGTTTCTTAAAATAATGAATTAACTGACAAGAATGATAGGAGTGCAATTAACCTAGCGGCAGAAGTAAAAAGTGCACACTGCGTAGCACCCCGGATATTTTTGAACTAGCGCGAAAGTCAACTGGAGTTTATACCAATTCATTTTCGAACGGCTGGGTGCACTCGGTGTGACGTCCAGAATTTCGAACGCACTCCTTAATTGCTTGAAGTTTGATGTTTAGTTTGAAGTTTGTTTTGTTCCCAAATCCCAAATGGCGTCGAAAATTTCCCAAAAATAAACAGGGTGAGTGAATTTTCCTCAAAAATATAATGAAAAAACAGTTTCGATTTTCTATTTAGTTATGCCATGTACCTTCTTTAAAATGAACTGAGAGTAATTCGGACGAAGTCACAGCCGACCATTCAAGCTTCAAAAGCATGGCTGCCTCCCAGGAAAATGAATCAGATATGGATTTTTCTGATAATGATTGTTATGATTACAATAACTATTACAATGACGACGATAGCGATGTTGAACATGTTGATCCCATGAAAGTTGACCCAGAATACTTTGAATACAGATGCCTTTCTGAGGAAGAAGTGGAGAGGCTTTTGAATGAAAGTGTGGAAAGTCTTAGTAATTGTCTCCGAATATCTCCCACACTGGCCAAAGTAAGTTGATTGCGGGCGTTTCTCGTATAAGGTGTTTATTTTTTTATAAACCCAATCCCTTTACCTTGATCATAGAACAAAACCCAGACGTATAAAGCCTCGTATAAAGCTTTAGAATGTGATTTCATATGATTTATTAACAAAATTTTCAAAGTTGGCTAGGTAATCGTGAATACACAATATTTAATAGGTAAGTCATAAACTGTAAAGTCGTAATTCAGGTGAGAATTCAGGTCAAACCAAAATGTGAAGAGTTAATAACCTATTATTTTGCCAATTTATACCTATACTGGAAAATGGAAACCATTTATGCTAGTCATAATCCAATCACGGTTATTGCGTCTGTAATAATGTCCATGACAAAATGATGCTATTGGCATGCATTGCAATTGTCACTGCTCTCTTTGATAAAACAACCAAATCATCAAAAAACAATCCTTTATTTTCGACCTCAAAAATTAATTATTGCACCATATTTTTATCTGCAGTACATCCACCAACATTTGTTGCTTTCATCTATTATGTATTTATTTATTTTCCAGTAAACTTCACAATGTTTTTTGGACATTTTAAAACATATAGAAGTAATCAGAGTCACCTTTACATAGAACTGGATACACTTAATCTAACTTGAAAACTATAGACACATATGTGCCAAAATAATGCATACAAAATTCTATTCATGCTATCCATACAATAAAATTATTTTTCAGAAGTTATTTAAAGGTAATTTTCTACATTAACGATACACCTGCGACATTAGGTATACCTTACCCATTTTTTTAACTTTTGCTTGACTGTTTTTTTGTTGTACTTCAAAGTTTTGTATTTATTTGGAAGTTTATTGAAAGTCTTGATTGCAGTTAAGTAGTTACTAAATAAAGTTCGATTTATTTTTGGTAAATTAAGTTCGATTTATTTTTTGTAAATTGATAGTTTTGTTTCTTGTTATCAGATTGCATAGAGTTTCTTTCTAGATCCTTGTATGGAAATGTAAGAGACTCAAAAATGAACGACGTTCTAATTTCAGTAAAACAGGGAGATTCATATCATCCTAAAGACTTTTTTCAGTAATCTTTTTTGGAGAGATTCCAAGGTACCTTTGACGTTATACGCGCCTCCCCAGGCTATTCTATAGTTACATACAGGGTGTTCCTAAATATCATGTACAAACGGAAGGGGGTGATTCTTTGGTTTATTTTATGACTAAAATTTTTAATAAACATAGGTCCGCAAACGCTCAGTTACCGATCTACAGGGTGTTGAATCTATATGACCACTTCTAGAAATAATTTTTTCATTTAAATGTCATTTAATATACTTACAGGTTGTCCCACCACAAATGCACCTTTCTTAGAAAAATGCTCGATATATTTGCAGACACTGCCAACAAAATTTATAACCATGTAATCTAGACCATAGTATTGGCTTGCTAGTTGTTGAATAATCATCAATCAATCAAAATATACTTTATTGTCGGAAAATAAATTTCATTGACAAAGCACGATCTTGAGTAACGTGCAATTATTATAAAAAAAAATATTTCCATTCATTCATTTATTTTCTAGGTTTTACTACACGGTCATCACTGGAATTCAAATGAAGTTATACGAAAATACAAAGACAATCCGTCACAGACCATTATATGGGCCAAAATTAATCCACCGTCTCCACAGAGTATAATGACATCTAATTATTATACATGCCCAGTATGCGTTACCCCGCAGCATGTAGAAAAGTTTTCTCATTTACCTTGTGGTCATAAGTTTTGTAAGGATTGTTGGATAACTCACTTTGAGGTGCAAATTAATCAGGTGAGAATTCAATTGTATAGTGAAAATTGGATCACAGTTTTATGAAAAAATCAAAACAAATGGTTATAGATATGAGTTAATCACCTCGTTAACCACTATAATTTTATTTTACTTAGTACAAAATTGAATCTAGTAAATCCCTTCTACTTATGCACCTTATTTATTAATGAAAAAGTTGCATACATTTTTCTTATGATCAAGTTTTCTATTCTTCTTGTGCGCTGGTGGCCTGAACTCTGTACTACTTCAGAGCCAGTGTCCAATGATTAACAGTCAAAATATGAGACTTCAAAGGTGTTACACCGGTTTGCCTCTACCCAGTTCCAATCCAATGCAAACCTAACTTTAATTTTTCTATTCTATTAGTTTAATTTTCTTGTGTTGGTTTTAGGGTATATCCACAAGTATAAGCTGCATGGCTAAAGATTGTGTGGTACTAGTTCCTGAAAGTTTTGTCTTGATGCATCTTCAGCATAAAACTAACATAAGGGAGAAATACCAGCATTTTGTTTTTCAAGATTACGTAAAGTCTCACCCCGAACTGAGATTTTGCCCTGGTCCAAATTGTCCTATTATCGTGCATAGTCGCGAAATTAAGGCTAAGAAATCCATTTGTGAACAGTGTAAAACTGCATTCTGCTTTAGGTGAGCTGGATTTTTAAATATTTTATTTAATATTCAATGGCGTTTGTTTCAATATATTTGATTTTTTATCTGTGCATAACCAAGATTTGTCTGTATACTATCAAAATCATGCCTTCAAACAGAAACATTTCTATGTTTATGGAGAGGAAGTAGGTACTTAATAATTTATTATATGACAAGCCATGTGAATATTAATATACCTTTTGGTGGTTAATTAGTACAAAATCCTGTATGATTCATTTTATTATATTCCACCTATGATTTTCAGATGTGGTTGCGATTACCACGCCCCAACCGATTGTCAAGTTATAAAAAAGTGGTTGATAAAGTGCGCTGATGATAGTGAAACGGCGAACTACATAAGTGCTCATACCAAAGACTGCCCAAAGTGCCACATATGTATTGAGAAAAATGGCGGATGCAACCATATGCAGTGTTACAACTGTAAACACGATTTCTGCTGGATGTGCTTAGGCGATTGGAAATCGCATGGATCCGAGTATTATGAGTGCTCCAGATATAGAGAAAATCCGAATATAGCTCATGAGTCGGTTCATGCACAAGCTAGGGAAGCTTTGACGAAGTACTTGCATTATTACGAACGATGGGAAAATCATTCCAAGTCCCTAAAACTAGAGGAACAAACCTTGGAAAAACTGAGGGACAGAATCAATGAAAAAGTTATGTCTGGTTTAGGTAAGTGATTATATTTTATACTAAACGAGTAAAATTAACGTGAATATTCTAGGGACATGGATAGATTGGCAGTATTTATTTGCTTCAGCAAATTTATTAGCGAAATGTCGCTATACTCTTCAGTACACATACCCTTTTGCGTATTATATGGATGCTGGACCTAGAAAAGAACTTTTCGAGTACCAGCAAGCCCAGTTGGAAGCTGAAATTGAAAATTTGAGCTGGAAAATTGAGAGAGCTGAAACAACTGACAGGGGTGATTTAGAAAACCAAATGGATATCGCTGAGAAACGGAGAACTACGCTTTTGAAAGACTTCTTGGATGTGTGATATTCTTTCAAGTTATCTTCATTGATGCAATTTTGAGGTTGCTATCTTCCAGCTCACTTTTTGTTTGAACAAATACAGACTGTGATTTTGAGATAATGTCGGGCAAGTGACATATAGGTAGTTTTGTTTGAACTTGGTTTAGTTCCAAATTTTGCAGCATTTGTGCTTTTGTTGGTTGGGCGGGTCTCTCAACCTCTTGGTTTCTGAATTTCCAATGACCTAATATCACAGATAACTGTTCATTTTGATTATTGATAATTTTGTTAATAATGAATTATGCTTAAGATAATGAAGATTATTTCGAATTTAGAGAGATAAATAGAATTATACCCACAAATAGGAGCTCACAACATCTCTGATTCAGTTTTGTGAATATATTTTTTTTCTTTCTCTAGCACACTAAGCTGCTTACTTACAAACATAATAGCTATCTTCGGGTTCGGAAAAAGGACAGTTCTAGAACGGTTCAAAACAATCGCACAGTTTATTATTGAAATTTGTGATAGCTGAGCCGTTGTCATTTTGTTGATTGATGAACTGTGCGATTGTTTTGAACCGTTCTAGAACCGTCCTTTTTTCGAACCCGAAAATAGCTGTTGCCAACATAACAAAGTAGTGTCAGGTCATTGAGAATTTGAAATTTAAAGTTTGCAATCAGTGCCGGATCCAGAATTTTGTTATAATATAGAATTGGTAAACTTCGACTATCTAGCTGGCCCTTTCTTCCTTTTAAATTTGCAACTGATTGCATTCTAATTCTACCACTATAAGTTTGAGCAAACCTACCTTTTCATTTAAATTTAGAATGAGTATCTTTTTAGTTTTTATTGGAAATTTTTGCATAAAGTCCAGTTATAACAAATTTTAAATGATACACATTCATCATTTCCAAAGTTAACTAATAAAACATATTTAAGAAAATTTCTTCAATCTATAAGATTCGGTATAGCTGGACTCTACAGGTTCAATCTAGTTAGAATTTTATTTGTATAGACTTGTATAAAATTTCAAAGTGCATTATGTGAGCATACAGACAGGACCAGGCTACCAGACACAGAAGCTTCAATGAGACCAGTTGACCGATACCCATGACACTGCATGTTATTAAAATTCGTGCATCTTTGGCAACTTGGCAATAATTGGCTTCGGCGGCACCGCCTGGATTTGCTGAGACTGGGAACAAGATAATTCATCTTATTATTCCCTATGTGTCTACTAGGTTGGTCCACTCTGTGTAAACGGAAATATGATTTTTTTTTACACTTCAAGTGAAACAGAATGTCAACTAGATCTGGTTAAGCTTCTGAGCAAATTGAATTTTGGTGCGTTATTGCTTGATCCCTGGCCCAAATGATCAGGATGGTTTCAGATATACTGTGGAATTTGGCTTGAGCTGAGAGGTGCACAATAGTTACACTTGGAGGCGATAAAACTCCCCGCATGCATTTTTTGTTCTTTCCAGCAATTTTTGATCAAGCCAAGTAGTATACTTTTCTTCAGTAGTTTGTGATTTTTTCAATAATGATAGATTATTTTCTTGAGTTGTATATTTAGAATAACTTGATGCAGATTTGTCATCCATGTCATCGTCAAACAGATCAGGACTGAAATAATAAATCTATAATCTACAGGTTTAGAAGGCTGCTTTTCAGGAGTCTTAATCTGTTCAACAAAGGCGATTTTTCTGAGATTAGTGAGTGCTAGAGTCTCTTCTATGAATTCAACTCGAGAAAAATATATTTCTAATTAATTACAAAATCATTGATTTGATAATTAAAATAATAATACTTTTCAAATAAATGATTTCCGGTCCGTACTCTAACAGTAGTTATTGTTATTTCTTCCAAATTATGTTGAAAGAAGTATCAAAAGCTACTATAAGCAGACTCAGTTTCTGGGTTGCAAATTCTATACATTGTTTGCCTCTAACATAATTTTTGATTACTGCTGATTGAAAGTGATAAATATAAAGTATAACTTTTGCCAAAATTCATTTTGATCTGGAAAAGAATAAATGTCTTGCCAGCACCAAAGCATCGACATCCTGTTATCAAAAAAATTTGAATTTTCCATTTTTTATTTGAGATTTAAAAATAATTTTAGACGGTCTTGAGAAATATCCCAATAGAAAGCTTAAATATAATAAATGTTATAATAAATTATTTTAATCAAGAGTGTTGCAGCTATTTCTAAGAATTGATGTTTGAATGTGGAAATTTTTTAAGGGATTTTGTGAACTATTATTTATAGTATTTTCATGTACCTACCTTGTTAGTCTAGAACTGCTAGATTATGAAATTGTATTAAGTTAAAAACATAATTAATAATTATTTTTCATAAGATTTAATCTTATAATAAGGGCATCAGACAAGTTTGCACAAAATTTTAAAATGTAGGTACCTACATTCATTTTCTGCGAAAAGCTCCAAAAATGTTTACATCTTGTGCAAAACAATTAAAAATTAAGATACATATGCATATTTATATTAAAACAACGGCGCCCGCAGAATTTGTCACAGGGGGGGGGGGGGGGGCAAATAAACTGCTCTTGGGGGAATCGTGGAAAACGCACCGCAGACGAAAATTTTTTTTTGGGCCACACCCAAATTTTGCTATTTGTAACTAATTAGTCTGGGAGACGACCGCAATTTTTCCTACCCCGATCGAGTTATGTGTCGACACTATTATAAATATATAGTATTATGTGCATCTTTTAACCTGTATTCCTGCCTGAGAGCAAATGCTGCCGGAAATATCTTTTTACAAATTATTAACAAATTGAAAAAAACGTAACACTACCCCCATCGAGTTATGCCCTAAGTAGGGTATTAGATTGAAGGTCTCGATGTCCCCTATCTAAAAAGTCGATCCTGCCTTGTGAGAACTTGCCGGAAAAGGGTGGCAGGACACCTTATTGGGGCAAGGGCCCGCGGTCTCTGCTTTGACACCTATCAAGCTTTGCACTAAATGTTGTGTCAAATTAAAGGTGTCAATAAGATGATTTAAGGTTTGTGCGCACAGAAATCACAAACCAGTCAGAGCGAATTTCATTGGTTGGAAACAGTCAAGAAACTAGTTTCAAACAATGAAATTCACTCCTTCTGGTTTGGGATTTCTGTGCGAAGAGACCATAAATCAACTTATTGACACCTTTAATTTGACACATCATTCAGCGCAAAACTTGATAGGTGTCAAAGCTGAGACCGCGGGCCCTTGCCCTGCCACCCTTTTCCGGCAAGTTCTCACGAGGCAGGATCGACTTTTTAGATAGGGGACATCGAGACCTTCAATCTGATACCCTACTTAAGGCATAACTCGATGGGGGTAGTGTTACGTTTTTTTCAATTTGTTAATAATTTGTTAAAAGATATTTCCGGCAGCATTTGCTCTCAGGCAGGAATACAGGTTAATAGATGCACATAATACTATATATTGATAATACTGTCGACACATAACTCGATCGGGGTAGGAAAAATGCGGTCGTCTCCCTAACTAAATATAATAAACAATAAAAAATAAAACAATTTGGAAATACTTTTATTTCGGCCGGAAAAAAAAGTTAATTCTCTGTATATTTTGATAGGTGCACAAATTACTTTTCCTTGTGGAAAAAAAATTAAAAAAAATTGTAATCAAAACTAAAACAACACAACGTAAATGTAATATTCCAAATTAAAAAAATACATTTTTCCGACTAGGTAAATGCAAATTGCATTCTTCTTGAGTCTCTCCCAAACCTATTAATAACTTCTTCATAAAAATCTTTATTAGCCAATTCATTCATTAATGATCGATGAATTGACATCATAGCGAAGCCATCCAGTTTTTCATTTGACATGGTCGATTTTAACCAGGTCTTTAATCTTCGTAAGGTGCTGAATGATCGTTCAGCTGTGCAGGTCGTAGGCGAAATGCTCATGGCCAGAGATAAAGCCAGAAAAATGGATGGATAAAATTCTTTGGTTTTCGATAATACGTCAAGAGGTGAAGAATTATTATTTTTTTTTTTGTCTCTTTTATTTTTAAGTATTTATATTAAAAGCCAGAGGGGGGGCAGATGCCCCCCCTGCCCCCCCCCTCCGGGCGCCCATGTATTAAAATAATATAAGTTAATGTTTTTTGTTTTATTTGATTATATTTCATGTGTCCCATTCCAGTAATAGCTATTTCTATTAGAACATTGGCCTGAATAATATTAAAAATGTATTTTCTCAATTCACTCCAATATAAACTTATTTTTGATAAACAAAAATAGATTGTTGGAACTTTGATAACTGCGATTTACTTGACTTTAATTGATTACCTTTACTAATCCAACCCTAGAGACTTTGTGAGATAAGTATTATTTAAATAAAAAAATGATTGATTTCCAAATGAAGTTTTTTTTTCTTGAAATGTTTTAACTTCATAACATCAAAAAAGACAAGGAATATGTCCCATTGGGTTCTAGTAGTGATGACACTTTGAACTTTCATTCGATCAGTAGGATGAAAAAAGGTTTAGTTATTTTCATTTATTTATTTAATCTATTTATTTATTTCAACAGAGACACCCCTGGAGTGAAAAAAGTTATTTATTGAGTAGGTAGAGAACTGTCAGAAAAATTATATGGCGACATTTGGACTGCCACAGGGAAGGAGTCATTTCTCATTTACTTTTCTGTAAGTGACCGAATATGCATCATGTTCGTTGACGACTCCAAGATGTATGTAGTGGTCTCATCTGCCTCAGACTGCATTAAACTATAAAAAGATCTAAACAATGAATGCATTTACGTGAAATGGACAGAAGAGATCATTGCAAGGATCTTGGAGTCACAACACACAGCTATAGTTTACACTACAAACTACAAACAAATTGTTAAAAATGTCGATAGAATGCTGGGATGCCTAATTCGAAATACCATAGATTTTACGAATGTGATTAATATAAGGTTTCATAATGCTCTAGTCATCAGAATATGTATCTGTGATCTGGTCGCACCGACAACAGCCAGCACTTCTGACTTAATAGAAAAAGTCCAAAAGAAGTTCCTCAGATATCTTCCCTTTAAAAATAATGATATCGTATAACCGCATGTTGGAAACCTTTAACATGCAATACTAGAACGTCTGTTCATCAGAAACAGCATCTTATATAAATATTCGTTTTTGATTAACCATATCAGATTTTATTGTAGATTGTAGATTGCGGGGGAGTCGTTTCGGCTTTTTCAGCCGCTCAGCACTGCTACCTTTGCAGATATTTTGTACATGACTCTACATCTCAAATTGTCTCCAGGAAGCGTAGACTTCTGCCCAAGGAAGCTATTTTCCTGGGTGTTAGTTGGCCCACTTCTCCTGGTGACAGTGTTGCCCCCTCGAGGAATTTGAGCCTCTTGCAGAATTGGGCTGGACATTCGCAGAGCAGGTGCAGATTTTATGTTCCTAGGGTTAACGAAAGGGTTGGACAATATATTTTGTTATCCTAGAAGCTGCTCTTCTGTGAACCGGATGTTATGGGAGTGCAATCACATATTAAAAAAATAATGATATAAATACAAATCTTTAACATAAGTGGAAATAAAATTCCTATTCCTGAGCAAGTTAAGTATATCATAGGTGTCTAGTTTTTATCCATAGAATAAGTTTGTATCCTACTTTAATTTTTTGTTCGTTTGTGTCTGTAATTTTTGTTCTGAAACGACCTTTTGTAACGTAGGTACCTATACGCACCCTTAGAGGTACCTATACCTAATGAATAAATTATTTTAAAATACGTTGGCCTTTATTCTGATTTTTCCTTATGCTTTTTTTCCCTTTGCGGTCCGTGCTCTAGTTTGCTTTGCCATATAGTTAAAGGATAGCATAACAAGTAAATACAGGCTAATAAAATTTTAATCAATACAGATATTGTCTCGTTTGTCCGCCTTCAACTACCTATATCATAATATCTAATCTTTTGCTGATTTAGTTGACGTAAATAACTCCAGATTGGATTCTGTTTCCATTTGATGCGTGGGATGTGCGTAGGTTGTATGGGGAATTAAATTTTCATCAAAGATATATCTTTATTCCATGGAAAGTAAGAAAGTGATGCACAATCCGTTATGAAACCAATCGGACAGAGTTAGATGTATTTGCGTTGGCGTTGGGAGTGATAAATTTCATGCTCTCCAATCTCCAGTCTGGATTCTCTCCCCCATTTACCATTTTTCCAGAATCGAAAAGTGTTTGATTGCGTCGACGTCAGCATCCGTGGTGACGTCAGACGGCGAACTTAACCTCGCATAGTTGCAAAAACACAATCACAACATAAAATCGATGTTTCATTTCAATTCGAGTCCTAGAATGGCGAACTGCCATATGTTTGGGATCCAAATATTTTTATTTATCTCGGTATTCATTCAAAAGACATGGTGCACAGATTTGAAGAAATATCCTATGTTAATGCCCAACATACATCCATACAAGGTTAGTGTCCCTAGTAGTAAATAAAAGTACTTTTTAGATGGTACCGTTTAGCAAATAGGCAGTTTATATTTGTTGATGTTTTGACTTCCAATTTTGTGTTTCGTTTTACTGTTTATTAAATTTTATATGATATTTTTATTTTTTACGAAGCTACAAAATCATTCGGCAAAATGGCAAATAGCATACAGGTGTCTCCTCTTGTTATTTGAGCTAGCTACGTATTCATTGATACTAAAAAAAGCATAAACTATTTATTCATTAAAAAATTGTCTCCGGTGTAAATGGTTAATGTTGATGTTTCTAATATTCATACAAATAACCTAACGATTCCTTACTACTGCGGACTGCGGATGACAATATTGGTTTGAAGTTGTTTGGGTTAGTTGGGTAGTAGGAATGTAGCTACCTAATTGTCCTTTTATTGGCCTTCCTCCCTAATTCGTAAAACAACTAATTATGAGATGAATAGCTACATAATACCTAAGTATTGTATTGTTGAATCAATAAGACTATAGGTTATCGATATTATACCCATATTAGGTACACCTAGCACAGGAAGTTTAGCCATTGGCCTTTACTCAAACAGCTGTGACACCTGAGGGGGTAACCACTTGGAGACAAACGTGACAAGATTGCAGAATTTAGAGATTGCATCTTAGGCCGGGGTTACCCAATTCCTTAATTCTTAATTTTTATTCTTAATTCTTAAATCTCTAAAGACATCAATGTATTAATAAAAGCATGGACAGAACAAGTGGGTTGTGAATTTGGTTTCATAATTATGTTCGAAATTGTATTCTTTTAGACCATTCTGAGGTTTCTAATGCAATTTAAACAAAAATACTGCTACAAAAGAATCATTATGACTATCAGTTGCAATATAGATTGAATTCAATTTTTAAGGCCACTTTGGATGGATTTTGATTGGGAAAGGAGTATGCAATTTTATACTAATTTTGGAACACTTTCTCTTGGTATTTCAAAAGGCTGCAGGAAAGCACTTTTAGGACAAATTTAAACCATTTTGTGATTTTTAATGCAATTTTGAACCAAAAATACACCAACAAAAGGATCTGTATGACTAAGCTTTAATTTAAGTTGTTTTTCCATTGAACGTGCAGGTACTGCCAATCTATCTATATGGAAGGGGTTTGAATGGAGATAAGTGAAAAATCGCTGACAGTGTCGTTAAAATGCAATATTATACCTACCTACCACAGCCTCCTACATTTAACAAGCCATGAAGTTAAAAAGGCAACACCGCAATCTTACCGCCAAGTGGTGCTGGTGCTGTTTGTTTTTATAAGTATATATTTTTTATTTTGTTAATATGAATCACGAAAAATGCATCATTTATTGTAATAAAGGGCCAAAAACAGTAATTCAATGAATAATATAACTATTTATGTAAATAAAAACAGTAAATAATGGATTTAAATGAATATATTTCTAGATTCTAAAGTGTTATAAGCCTATGTTTCAGTACGCCATTTGAAAATCTAACTTTTTCTTTCTTCGAGATTTTTTCGGAAGGCAGGTCCATTCAAATACTTTCGAAAATAAGAGGTACTTTTAAGAGTTGGACGTTTTAGTTTGAACTTTCGAACTACTCCTTTATCCTTGTTTGTTTCAAATCTAATTATTTCGGTTTCTTCAACATGTTTACAGCACTGCACACCACAGAATTTTTCGTTATTGTATAATCTCGGGTATAATTATCTTGGTGTATTGCTTTCATCCCCCTTTTTTGCGATTCAGAATTTTTTTGGAAATGAAAATGTTTGCATTTCTTCAGTTTTTAAGGAACTCCTATAGTTTGATTTGCACCCAGGAACACAGGAGTTTCATGGCATCTGGAACAAGTTTTAATATCTTAGGTATTATAGCGAGACCTATGCTCTTGCACACAAATATTTATATCGTTTTTATTGTTTTACCTTACCTTACCTTCATTTTTGCTCCTGTACCCATATGCTAAAAATTTGCAATCAAAGCACAAAGGAACCGGTATCAACTAAATATGGGCAATATATGGGTATGTTTCTATTCACTTTTTCGTCAATAATGCCCACAAAAATACTAAACTACAACAATACACAATGAACGCAATACACAGAAACACATAACCCAATAACAAAATAGCACCATACGCGACGTTGCCGTCATTTCCAGCTTCATGGCTTGTTAACTATAGGAGGCTGTGTACCTACTCATTTTGGACATTTTCCTTGACATTTTCTCTTCGAGATATTTCAAGAGATGGAAGCACTTTCAAGAAAAATCGAAGGAAAATTTGAGACCATTTTGTAGTTTTCAATTCAATGATATTTGTTTTTTGAAAAGCAGTTAAATATCAGGAAGCCACCACCAAAGTATACCTAATCCCTTTTTTTTTACAGTTTTTCTATTAGTCAAATACTTCCATACATGCTGTTAGATTATGGTCTGGAAGAATATTTTATTGCTACACTTTAAACATAATTTTATATTTTTTTATCTCCTTATTAATTGTGTTGTTGTTGTATTAGGATTTTTTATTTTTGGTATTTTATGGTCGTGCTTATTATGAATATTGTTATTGTTATTTTTGTGATTCTAAGCACAATCTGACTTTAAGTATTTTCTTTGTCAATGAAATTTATTTGTTATTTTCTGACAATAGAGCTTATTTTGATTGATTTCATCTTTCCAGTCGAGTAGCTATTTTGTCAACTATTTTAGCAATAAAGACAGAATAATCCGAGGGGAGGGTCACTCACCAGAATTTGTACACCTATTTATAAATACAAATAAATATGTAAGTATTTGCTGTATTTAAATGTATTTACTTTTTAAATTTTATTTAAAAGTATTTGAAAATATTTAAAGTTACTTAAATGTATTTAAACATATTTATTTATATTTAAATGTATTAATTTATATTTTTATGTATTTATATTTAAGTATATGTATTTATTGTAATTTATAAATACCAAAAATTACCAGTGCTATGGAAAATCTTACAATACTATGTTTTTCTTAATTATTTTGAAGTTCTTATCTATGAGCAGTTTATCAGCTCTTCTTAGCTGAAAAGGGTAATTTCCTACAAGGTTTATGGATCAATAAATTACAAATTTCTTGTCCAAAGACTATATATCTTGATTGGTTATAAGGACCATAAGTATACCCTGAAACTCTACTGACTTTAGAAAAAAAGTTATGACTTCAAAGTTTTCCAAAATCATAATCATAATCTAAATAATACTTATTTATCACTTTCCAGATATTTCCAATATTACAAAGAAGCATATAAAAATGAAAAAAGAAAATATGACAGATTGTTAGCCAATCTGCGCACTCATACATATGAAAATCGCGTAAAAAATGCAGACAATAAGACAAAATGTATGTGGGCAATATGTAAGGAAATTAATGGAAAAAATAAGTCACCAGATATTCAGGTTGAGGGAAGTTCTAATCAAATTGCATGTAGCGTAGCTATAATGAATATTTATTATCTATAGTGCCCGATTTGTTGAAAAAACTAGTTAATGTCCCTTTCAAATCTAGCATAAGTCAAAACACTAGATCTATGTTTTTAAAGCCAGTAACACCTGCAGAAATATGTGAAATTTCAAAAAAATTGAAAAACAAACATAGTTGTGGTGTAGATGATATTCCAACAAGTATTGTTAAGATGATAATGTGGGAGCTGAAGGATATAATATGTTATATAATAAATAACTCATTTGGATGTGGAGTGTTTCCGGATAGTTCAAAAATAGCACTTATTAAACCTTTATATAAGAAAGGAGACCCTGGAAAACTTGATAACTACAGACCAATCAGCTTGCTGCCCAGTTTCTCTAAAATTTTTGAAAGTGCAATGAGTATCGGACTTAAGGATTTTTTGACCGAATGTAATATCATTGCTGATTCCCAACATGGATTTATTAAAGGAAAATCAACACAAACAGCAATTTTTAATTTCATTCGATTAATATTAGAGTATCTCGAGGATGGGCAGTTGGCAATTGGGATGTTTCTAGATTTGTCAAAAGCATATGACTGCTTAGATAGGGACCTTCTTATAAATAAACTAGAAATGTATGGGGTAAGAGGTAATGCTAATAAATGGATTAAATCATATCTTACCAATAGAAAACAAATTGTAACAATTACTAAAGCAGGCAAAACTAGTAGGTCCGAAGTGCTAGTGAATAATATAGGGATAGCGCAAGGAAGCATTCTGGGTCCAATGCTTTTCATTATATTTATAAACGATATAACTCAATTAATCACAGCGCCAAATACCAACATCATAAATTATGCAGATGACACAAACCTTTTAATTGGCTGTAAAAAGATCGATGATTTGATTATGGGTGCAAACGATTTTCTTTCACAAGTTACGAATTGGTTTAATGAAAACAGATTAATTTTGAATCAAGAGAAAACTAATATTATAATTTTTAGAACAAAAAGATCAAACATAAGTAAGCCAAGCCAGTTACGAACTGATGACAAGAATTTAGATATTTCTGAAAACACAATGTTTTTAGGTGTCAATATCAATGAGTTTTTGGACTGGTCAGGGCATATAGACATTTTAATAAAAAAACTAAACTCAGTATGCTTTGGAATAAGAGTTGATGCCAAATACATGAACGAGAAGACTCTTAGAATAATATATTTTGCCAATTTTGAGGCAGTGTTAAAGTATGGCATTATGTTTTGGGGAGGGGATATTAGAATACAGGATGTTTTTGTGGATCAGAAACGTGTGGTTAGAGTTATTAAAAAAATGAAATATTTACAGAGTTGCAGGGGTGTATTTAGGGAGTTAAGTATAATGACTGTTTACGCCATATATATTTACGAATGTTTAATGTTTTATTTTAAAAATAGAGAACTGTTTTCTGATCACATTGAACATGGTTATAACACTCGAAATTTAGATTTTAGATATCCTATACATAGATTAACGTTAACAGAAAAATGTCCACACTACATGTGCCTTAGATTGTATAATAAACTTCCTGATAGTGTCAAGAGAATTGAACAACAGAAACTCTTCAAGAAAGAAGTGAAGAGACTCTTAATAGACTTGGAGCCCTATAATTTAATAGACTTTTATAATGGTGTTTAGAAAGCTAGATATAATTTCTTTTTTGTGTGACGACGTTTCACTTTGTGTTACCATGTAAACAATGTTGAAATAAATAAATAAATAAAATAAAAATAAAAAAAATAAAAAATAAGCTAAACTTTGTTTCACCAGGGTGACATAATTTGCCTTCCTTTTTTAACAAATAGAAATTGACTGAAACAAATCAATGATGACAAAAACGTTTGTCGTTTCTTAAACCAGAAGTTATTCATTTTAATTTGTCAAAAAAATTGAATGTGTCAGATGAATTAATCTACGACAACCCTTTTTTTTTTCAAGTTTCAAGGTCAAGTATGAACCCTAGTGAAACGATCTGTACCTTCCAATGACCTATTAACACAGATAAACAGACCAATAAACAATAATAGGTTGACTACATGCCAGGAACCGCATCTTTCTCTAACACGTGAAAAGCGATTATTTTTCAATAAAAATTAGCAACGCTGCAAAAAAATAAATTCCACCTTTCCACCAATCAGCGGCTTCTATTCAATTGTCATGTCAAAATGCGCCCTACAGGTATTTTATGACAATTTCCATTTGTCAATCAGTGCGCAGTGAGTGTATCCTCATCTTTTTCTAAAATTATGTGAAATATAAGGATAAAGATACACTTTTGTAGCACTGATTCTGGTTTCATTTTCAGAGTTGCCAAGTATGCGATAGTAAAGTGGGGGCGGAGTTAGCAGAAGCATTTGAATCCCTACTCCTAACCGCTTTCACAGCTCACCCCCCCCCCTGGCCCATAAACATGTAGTCAACCAAAACAAAGCTATTTTATCAATGGGATGTTCTGTCTATCTGTGTTAATAGGTCATTGGTACCTTCATCTAAGGTACCTTCTTATTAAAACAATAAAATTTCAATTTTTTTTTTTTTTGAGATGTTGTGTCTTTATGGTCCTTCGGGATCCCCCGAACTCCATACACTGAATTATTCTGAAATTTGGAGCCAGATTCTATGAAAAAAGGAAATCAGAAAAATTGAAAAATGAATCACCCCAAATTGCTTAACACGATTTTATCTCAGGAACCATGAATCCAAATGAGCTGAAATTTTGAGGTATTGTAGTCTTCTACTGGGATAAGAATCGCTGAAAATTTCAGCTTTCTATCTATAATAGAAAAAAAGTTATGGCCTTTCAAAGTTTTCCAAAATCTAAATCATTAAGCTACCTTCTTACTGAAAGGATGGAATTTCAATTTTTTTTTTTCATTGAGATTTTGTATCCTAATGGTCATTTGGGATCCCCCAAATTCCATACACTAAATTATTCTCAGATTTGAAGCCGAAATCTATGAAAAAGGGCACTCAGAAAAATTGAAAAATTGATGAATCACCCCAAATTGCTTAACAGGATTTTATCTCAGGAACTATAAATGCAAATGAGAAAGCTGAAATTTATCCCTGAAAATTTCAGCTTTCTATCTATAATAGAAAAAAAGATATGACCTTCCAACGATATTATATTTTCCACTGGCTCCACAAATAATTTACCACAAAATTCAATAATAGATTATCGCATTTATTAACGAGTGTGATCAGTGAATAAAATCTTGTTCATGCTTGTCTATAGTCAAGTCGGCAGGACGCGCTGTATTCTGTATTTCACCCAAAATTTTGGGGGAAAATCGAAGATTTATTTGTATTTCAATCTATTTATCCGTATCTAATTCTATTTATTTATATTTAAATGTATTTATTTGTATTTAAATGTATTTATTTTTATTTAAATCTATTTATTTGTATTTAAATCTATTTATTTGATTTAAATGTATTTACGCATGTATTTTTGTATTTATTTGTATTTAAATAAATACAGTTTGCGAACTGTTACACCTATTTATGGAGTGACTTGCCCCTCGGAATATTCTCAGGATTTTTTTATTGATATATTTTTTCTACATTTGCAGGACGAGTTCTATGTCTGCACACCTATAAAAATAGTACCTGACAAGAATTTTTATATTGGTAAGCAACTTTTTCAAGTTTCTTTTTATTGTATTGTTTTCAGGATTGGAGCCATATTGTTATTTGTTAGACAGGTACCTACCTAATTTATTAATCAATAACAAAAATGATGAATTACGGAGTTAACAAAGTGATTATTAATTTGTTCTTACGGCTTTTAAACTTTCATGATTTTTGTTTTGTTTCATGTTATCTGAAAAATGGTGACTACCTACGTAATACTTATAATGGAATTTTCATTAAAATAATTTTGATAAATTTTACTTCCTATTCATATTAAATAATAATCGAGCAGACTGTGAAGATTTAATAAGCATCCTGTCTGAATAATATATTTTTTGTTATTTATAATAAATGTTTAACTGTTTATTTGCCAAAATAAATATTTTTGTCTATTGATGACACAGAGAGGGCAATTTTCAAAGAAAAAATTGCTTTTGGGACGATTGCAACCAATGAACTATATTTCAACAGAATATTTTTTACAGTAATAGTTAAGGTCCTTTACACAAACAATTTCCTGCAAATGAAAACTATTCCCAAGAATAATACATTCATGGAATATTTGTGCAATGTGCATTCTTCTGAATAGACAATCGTTCAATGAAGTCAGGTCAAAAAGCCTTCTTGCCGTTTTTTTTGTTCAGGATACCCATTCTATTTTATCTCAAATTTCCCTAAATTTAAAGAAACATGTTTGTTTTCTTAAACGTCGAATTAATTAAATATGTGCATTATCCATATTTTGATCCCTTAGTGATCCAAACCGATTTCAAATGGTTTGGTTTCAGCCTGGTTGGAACTGGCCAACCCTGCCTGATGGTGTCATTTGCTCATTTTTATTTGATTCAATATGGAGTCTAAAAATGAGTACCTCTTTAAAAATGTTCTTGAAGCAAGTAGAGCATAGCTAGACAACTCTAGTGATTGAAGTTTGATTTGGAATTCTTTGTAACAAGCTAACAAAGTTTGTGCATCAAGAAATATAAGCCAGAAGATTTCTTCCACTCATTGAACAATAATCTATGTTCAAACTTGGTAAAGTTAAGAATCTTGTGAATTTCGTGAACTAATAAATTGAATAGGTTAATATTTTGTTACAAGCATTCAATGGGAATATTGCAATCGCAACATACAATTAACATTAACATTAATACAAATGTTTAAATATGTATTAATTCAATGTTACCAGGCAAACCCACTTTTTTTTTTCTATTACCAGGCTTAGCGACAATATTGCATCATATAGATTTTTAATATTTATGTAGGAAATATAAAGAGTGACTGGCTGTAGAATAAATGTTCGTTGGCTTGGAGGAGCTCTTAATAGAGCATATTTGTGGAGGATTTACCCACACAGAACTCAAAATAATGTAATTGTATATTTTATATTCTTGTTTGTGACACATATTATACAACAAAAAATGTGGTCAAAAATTATTCAGTTAGGTACCTACCTACCTTTATTTTTCATATCATCAAGTTTCTAACTAGTTTGCTTCTTATCTTCAAAAATTCAATAACTCATCACCTGAAGGTCAAACTACGGCACAAAGTTGTTTTCTTGTCTTTAAAATGAGATAGGTAGATAGATTTCTGATAATTTATTTGGTTGGAAAATTCCATTGTTTTCCTTAATATTTGGTATTCGTAGCAGAAGAGAATACATTTGAAAAAAAAGTACAAAAACTGGAATATCTCAAAAACCAATTTTGTATAGAGGTCTATGTGGTTAAATTAGTAACAAATATGCTCACAAACACTTCCAGAGAGAAATAAGTCGACTTACCAGTGACCCTGCATATTAAATTTCTTAGGAAAAATATGTTTTTCTTATAATAATTATTTGAAGCTCACAAAATATTATCGCGTGCATCCATTGATGCATTGTGACTTTTTTAACAAACAAGGTTTTTCTTTTAGTTGGTTTTGAACCAAATGCCACAATGAATGTTGCTCATCATATGCTCCTCTTTGGTTGTTCTGCGTTGGCTTCTTTTGAAGAATATTGGTAAGTAGAATTCTTGAATTAGATGTAAAGCAGTTGATCCATAGGGCTGACATTTTTTTTTTCAGGGATTGTGGAGAAATGTCTCAATCTGAGCCAGACAGCAAACTGCAAAAAGCAACGCCGTGTGCGCAGGGTAGTCAAGTAGTATATGCTTGGGCCCGGAACGCCAAACCATTAAAACTACCAGAAGATGTGGGATTTCTTGTTGGGAAGGACACGCCGATAAAATATTTGGTTTTGCAGATACATTATACCAAAAAATTTCCTGAAGGACAAACAGATAACTCTGGATTATTTTTGCTTTACACCCAGAGACCGTATGTACACATTTCATTTAATTATTTATAACAAACTTCTATACCTAATTATCGGTTTATAACTTTCTACATCTTTCGATTCCCGATCTCCAACCATCTCTGTCAATCCAGACATCCTCCTCTAAGCTTCTGTCTCTCATTTCTTTGTCTACTCCACTTCTCCAGCTTCTTCTTGGTCTGCCACTTCTTCTTCTTCCCCCTGGCTTCCACTCACTAATTTGGTTTGGGTATTCTTGTATCTGCTATTCTTCGTAAATGTTCAAACCAAATCAGCTGTTTGTCCTTTATATCATCTACTATTGTGTGTTTTACATCTATAATCTCCCTAATTCTCAGATTTGTTATTCTTTTCATTTTTGACCTGTCTGCCGCTCTCATCCAAAAGTCCATTTCAGTTGCTTCCAGCATTTTTGCGGTTCTGTTCTTTAGTGGCCAGACCTCTGAACTATATGTCACTATGCTTTTGACTATGGTGTTGTATATTCTAGTTTTGTTGATATTTTGGTCCCATAGAAGTTACACCATTTAGTAGGGATATTGCCTTGCATCCTTGTATATTCCGATCTTTAATTGCTTCTAGGGTTCCTTCATGTGAGATTTTCATTCCCAAACATTTGTATTCAGTACATTGTTTTATTTCTTGTTAGTTATTCAATTTCAGCGTTCGGTGTTCACCTCCTATAGTCATATGTTATGTTTTAGTTAGATTTACTTCCAAACCCCATTTCTCATATTCCTCTTTCAATTTTCGTGTCATGTACATACTCTAGGTCATCATAGTTCTGTGCAATTAATACTTGATCATCTGCAAAGCTTAAAGTTTATAGATTGTATTCATTGAGCGGTATTCCCATGTGTCTGCATTTGTTTTTCCACCCCTTAAGCGCTTGTTCTAAGAATATTTTAAAAAGTGTTGGTGATATTATGCAGCATCCCTGTTTAAGTCCTTCAGTTGCTGTAAAGCCTTTACTGATAATGTTTCCCTGTTTAATCATGGTCTTTGCATCACTATAGAGCGTTTTTACTACATTTATTAGTTCCAAGTTGATATTGGTCTTTTCCAGTGCTTCCCAAAGCTTCTTTAGCGGAACATTGTCATATGCTTTCTTTAGATCTACAAAGCGTGGATGGAGTTTTTGGTTATACGGTAGTTTCTTTTCCATTACCTGGATCAAACTAAATGAGTGGTCTACAGTTGATCTTCCTGCTCTAAAACCGGCCTGTTCTTCTGCCTCACTATCTTTGTACTCATTCTCTATTTTGGTTTTTATAGGTTTTCCATACACTCTGCTCAGCGTATTTGTTACTGCAATTCCTCGGTGGTTCTCGCATTTATTTCTGTTTGCTTTCTTATATATCGCTCTTATTTTCCACTGTTCTGGTACTTCATGTTGATCTATTCATGTTTGAAATAGTTTTGTTAAATGTTTGTACAGTTTATTGGTCCCATACTTTATCAGATCTCCATTTATTTCTCCTGGACCTGGTGCCCTTCCATTTTTCAAGAAGCTTCAGTGTTTTTTAACTCTTATATGCGATTCTGCAGTTTTTAGGTTTCATGTCTGTTCTTTTTCTTCTTTAAATTCTGCCCGTTGTTCTCTCAGTATTTCTTCAAAGTACTCTTCCCATTGCTGGGGTGTTATTGTATTGATAATAACCTTGGTTTTTGTTTTCCTCATGTTTTTTAGTAATGTCTAACTTTCTGTGTTTCTTTTGCTTCCCAGATAAGTATTAATATGCGCACAGTTTTTTTCCCATGTCTCGTTTTTTTTTTTGTACTATTTTATTCGGTTCTCTTGCTTGTGCTTCTTTATATGTTTCTATGTCTCATGTATTATTTGAATTTAGATACTGTTGGTATTTTTTCCTTTTATCTGCTATGTCTCTCTATTTCTTGATCCCACCAATGAGGTGAGGGCCTTCTTCCATTTTTTTCGTATTTGCCTAGGGCTTCAAATGCTGCATTGTGAATACTCTCTTTGATGTGGTGGTAATACATTTCAAGGTTTTGGCAGTTCATACTATTCTGTAATTTTTGATCTAATCGCTTCACGCTTTGCTTTTCTAGAGATTTTAGGTTGTATTTCTCAGGCAAAATATTGTCTTCTTGTTTTTTCTTTCCGTTTTTTTTTTTTCACGGTGTTTCTGCCCGGGATAAAGATTCTTCTTTTCAGGAGGTAGTGATCGCTACCACTCGCTCCCCTATATTCTCTCACAATTTTATGTTTGATCTCTGTTTTGCGATAGTGTAGTCAATAATCAATTTTTGTTGCCTAGATTCATTTTTCCATGTGTACCTATGTATTTCTTTATGCTGGAAGTAACTGTTTAGGATTTTTAGGTTATTTTGTTGGCATATGAGCCTTTCTCTATTGGTATTCGTTACATTCTCTCCGAATTTTTCGACCACCTTGTCGTGGATTTTTTTCCTGTTCGGCCATTAAAGTCTCCCAGCAATAATATTTCCCTTGAAGTTCCTACTTTTATAATTTGGTTACTGAGTTGTCGATAAAATGAATCCTTTATATTAACGGGTTCATCGTCGTTCACTCCATACTAATATTCCCAAGATTGTTATTTTTCTTCCGAACATACATACATTTAGTTTTATTATTGTTTCGTTTACTGCTTCCCATGATGTTACAAGTTTTCTGCATTTTCTGTGTATGAAGATCGAGACTCCTTTCTTCGCTCTGAATTCTTTTTGAACCCCCCAGTACCACGGGATTTAAATAGATATATGATATTACGCAACAATAAAACTGTACCCCTGGTCTGACAAACTTCTAACAAAGTTCTATATTTTATTTTAAAGGCAAAGCAAGCTGGCAGCTGTTTTATTGCTAGCAGCAGGAGGACGAATTCCACCCAAAGAAATCACGCACATGGACGTGGAATGCAAAATTAACGAAGATAAAGTTTTACATCCTTTCGCATACAGGACGCACACTCATACATTAGGTAAATAAGCCATATTTATTTTATTTATTTTTTTATTTTAGTGAAGTTATGAAATTGATTACATTACAATAATTAAATGAATTGACATTCATTTGCTTAGCCCCTTTGAATCTGTCATAGTCACTCTGTTCATTTTTAGGTCGAGTAGTTTCCGGATACAGAGTGACTAGGGAAGAAGGACTGGACCATTGGCATCTTTTGGGTAAACGAGATCCTCTCACCCCTCAAATGTTTTATCCAGTATTTGACCAGACACCCATAAAACAAGGAGATAAAATAGCAGCTAGATGTACGATGAACAGTGCTACAAGGGACAGATATACTGACGTAGGGTGAGTTGATGAAAATTGACAATGGTAGAACCTTCTTTAACTGAACTTTAAACACACAAATAAGGATAGCGGATTGGATAGTGATGCTAGATCATAAATCAACTGAAAAGTAATTCAATCTTGGAGAGTCTGATGATTTCTATGAAGTGAATTTGTTGCTTTGCTTCTAGTTAGGATCAAGTCGATATCATCATTTCAATACTAAAACCTTTCAAAAGGACTTTATGATGCTACTTTTTTTTGTTTGAATTAACCTTTTTTCTATTTCAGACCGACAAACAATGATGAAATGTGCAATTTCTATCTTATGTACTACGTTGAAAAAGGTACCCCTTTGGAAATAGCTAGTTGTTACGATGTGGGCCCTCCAAATTATTATTGGCGCAACAACGACGATTTGAATAATATCCCGGAAAAAGAAGCTTCGTCTCTCTACTAGTTTAAAATGGCGAATGACCTAAATATCTACATTCTTAGCTCTTGTGATTTTTTAAGTGTATTTTTATAATGAATTCAAATTCAGTATTTTTTTTGTACTTAATTTTATGAAGTATGCACCAAGGAACTTCAACCATGGCTGTTTATATTTTTAAAAACAATGTTATCAACATTTGTTATATTTAGACAAAATTGGAGAAATCTCTAAAAATTTAAGTTTTTTTTTTCTGTACTTACTATGTAAGTAGCACGAATCTCACATGGTGCACTACCAACAAGTTGATTGTGATTATATTACCTTGAATTCCAGTATGTATATACCCAAGGTTAGTATATACCTACATTTTATTTGTGTATTCTATATTTAGTACCTAAACTTCAGGGACTTCTTACCTTATCATATCATGTAATGTATGGTGTATGCATTTAATTGTATCTCTACTTGCAATATCATGCACAGTTATGTCCATTCTCAATGGCACGTTCCGATTTTCTAGTCCAAACAATTTGGATTTGTTGTTAGTATGTTGGATTGATTGGCGTTACTAAAAGACAATTATTTTAAATATCTTCATTAAAAAGCTCAATTAATTTTAGAGTAAAAAAATAGGATCTGAAAAATTAATTGATTATGATCGATGTACTAACAACAAAATAATTTTAGCAAATTGGTGTTAATTTAATGTGGTGACATTGTATTGATTATGACCTAAAGACAACACATTATAATTATTAGATTCTATATAGTCAAATTATTTAGCATAAAAATAAAGCTTTTAGGGAATAATAATTTAAAAAAAAACCTAAACTACCTATTATACATACAGATTATATTTAAAGTTTAAAAAAACATTACTGAATAGATTCAAAAAATAGTTACATTAATTTTTTTCTTTGTTGCTTGATGTCAACTAGTCAAAAAATAGGGATAGGGCATTAACATCAACAAAGAGTATAATTGAATTCTATATTTTTTTGAAGTATTTATTGAAAAGTTGCAATGTTGTGCCCTAGTCTATTACAAACTCCGTCAGAAAGATTCTATATTAAAACTGTTATTTGATAGTAGCAAATTTTTTATCTTGATAATAGAGGTAGCTACTTGAGCTATGTGATAGTTAAGTAGAGTTGCATGTTTATATTTTATGGCATTAATTTTATTCTATTGTGTTACGTTACAGCAGATAATAAAGCGTTTTGAACGTGATTCTTTTTTTTTATTCAGATATCAAAAATGTTCATACCTACTATAAAAAACAGCAAAAAATCGATATAGTCTAATTGAAAAGAGGATGATGGGTTGTGTCAAGTCAGAATATATACCAAGAAATTGTGAGTCTACTATCTCTCTTACTATTTCTTTTCATCTGTTAACACATTGCGTGCCACATGTATATTGGGAAAATATCCCACGAGGCCACCTCTTAATTTTTATTAAAAAGTGGCTGAAATGATAGATTATATTGTTTATAGTATTTTTTTTTTGTTTTTAGCCTTTCCCGCCATTTTTTCTACGTCAGTCATATATGACTGATGTGGCCCCCCATGTATTTTTTTCATGGACTTGGACATGGAGGGGACCAAGTCAGTCAAATATGCCCGACAATTTTTTTCTATTGTTTCTAAATAGATTTGTATATGAATGTTTTAGTTTACTTTTTTAGAATTTAGCACATTTTGAAAACTAGTAATTTTGACTACCTATTTTTTATAGCGTTTTCCATTTGTCAAATAATGGCAAAAAAAATGTGTCCTTATCCTTACATGTTACGTTACATGCTCTTAGAAAAAGATGCGGATACACTCAGTGCGGCACTGATGACAAATGGGAAACGCCATTAGACAAAAGAATTCTGTCATAAAAGTGCCAAATACACATCAGAGAAACCAAATGTGTTTATTGCCTACCCCTTCTGTCTTGGAGGCTATTGCCCCCCTACATGGCCGGATTAAGCTTTCATGGGGCCTGAGTGAAGTTTAAGGGGGCCCTGTAGCCCCTTTATAAATTGGGTGCCAAAAAATATAAATAAAAAAACTATATTCCTGATATAACAGAAGACACTGCTATACCTACATGTTTTACAAAAGTAAGTCAAAATATCTTTTTTCTACTACCATGCTTAAAGTACTCACTTTACGCACTATCCAGATTTCAGAATACGTAAAATTTCAATTCACGCACTAGTGCTTAAAGTAATTCACTTCATACCCTAGTGCAACACTGTCGTCAATTTAGTATTTTTCTGTAAATTACTTCACGCACTGCAAATACTTTGAGCACTAGTACGTAAAGTATTTGTCTAAATTTATTTTTTTACACATATTATGTTATTGGTTGTAGAAAAAATATTGTATGCTTTACGTGTGTAAAGCACCTTTTTGCAGTCATGTGATGTCATGAGTCGTCAAAATTCACATTCGTGAAAAAAAGGTTCACTTTACACACTTGTTGCATAAACAGCTATTTTCGTCTGACACCAAAAATTCTGGATAAAAAAGTGTTCCAGGTGATTTTCCAGGTAGCGGAAGAGAAATCTTTTGGCCTGAAACAATTATCTGATGCATGCTTGCAGAATGAAGTAGGACAACTGCTAGGTGTCGCTACAACGGGTCATGCCACTGTGTTTTAAAAGGTTTTTTGTTAAAAATAGGTTAAATTGTTCGGCTGAAATTTTGGGAAATATGACGCGAAAGACTAGTGCATTTAATATTTACTGTTTGCCCACGGGCCATTGACCAGCATAAGCCTCAACACCTCAACGTTCATTTTTCAAAAGTTAGGGCCCCTGCGGGCCCTACTGGAACGCGGGGCCCGGGGCTGCAGCCCCTTTAGCCCCCCACTTAATCCAGGCATGCCCCCCTAATGATTTTTCTAAAATGAGAAACTACCCCGTGTGATACCTCCTTCGAAAGTTTTTTTATTCCTCTTTTGAGGCGCGACCATTTCATTTCAGCTACAATATATATAGAACATGATCACTTGACTCTTCATTTAGAAAATACAAAAACAATTTTGCCTAAAGCATTCAGCTATTCTATTAAAGCCCCATTAGGCTGAATTTATTTGGAACCACGTTGTGCAGCTGACACCCAACTAATTCAACCATTTCTCGCCGGTATTCGGTAGTGCCCCACTGCTACACTTACTTTTAATAGTATAATCGTGTAACAAATGGGATCTTTACATATTATGGCGTACGGCTCCCCCGGGGACACCAATTACCAAAAAGAAATAATCAAACCATGATTGGTTGCCCTGGATATCAGTGACATGCAACTTCAATTGTTAAGAGAAAGTTATAGTGAACATCTACAGCCAAATGCTTAGTCTAATACCGAACATGCTCAACTAGAAGTAGCTTACCAAAATTCTGATTTGAAGGGCACTTAGGATCATAGCTTAGGTAATTATTATTTTTTTAATAGGTAGCTTATTCCTCCATAACAGTCTACTGCCGAATGACGAATATAAAAATAGATAGGAAAAGAAAGGTATAATAGCTTGTTTACATTACCCTGGTCCCTTTTTCAGTGATGATTCATCAATTAGGAATAATAATATTGAGATAAAGAAATAATCATTCCATCTTTACTTGCTGAAATGCACAAAACACCAATTTCAGATTTTTTCGAAAATGTGATGGAAAATTAACCTTCTAGTCGGGGCGGTTAATCAAAAAAATGGGCAGAATCTTGCAAATTGTGATAAAAGCATGAAATTTCGTACAGATGATTTTTTTACAATTATAAGCGATTTGACCCGCATGACCCCCTGGTCGGACCCATAGGAGCAAGATGGCGACCATTTGCAAAATGGCGGCTATCAAGAGGTTAAAATTGGTAATTGTGAATCGATTTCAGCAAAATTGGGGTCGTTTTCGAATAATTTTTGATCAGAAAATGTAAGAAAATATATAATTAAGTGATTGAAATTTGAATAATACAGGGTCTTAGCCGAGAGTGACCCATGTCAAATGCTCATAACTTTTGAACCAAGTATGCTAGTCACCTGCGGTTTGCGCCATTCGACTACTCTTGGCCTAAAGTTTTTTTTTTGGTTAGTTGCTCATTTTTTTGATACTTATACCGGGCCAGTAAAGGAGCAAGATGGCGCCCATTCGCAAAATGGCGGAAAAAGAAATTATAATTTTTAATTATGGATCGATTTTATCAAAATTAGGGTCGTTTTCGAATAATTTTGGGTAAAAAAATACAACAGAACATATTTTTTGTATTAAAATATAATCTTAACTCAGAAAAAATTATTCTTTTAATTTTTTTGAGGAATTAACTATAGTTATATTCAAACTATGAAAAAAAACAAAATGTAGGTATCAAAAACTGTTTTGCTATGAGCGTGCGGAAAAAGCTCTTTTTTTTCGCACGCATTGGCCTGCGGAAAGAATAATTTTTCCGCACTAGTGTGGAATTTTTTTTTCGCACGTCGTCGTGTCGTGTTGACCTACGATATGCATCAGCGATAAATTTACAATATGCTGAAAATTGTACATTCACCATTAAAATAGTTAAAAATAAATAAAAATTGTTGTTAATTAACTAATATAGATTTATATATTTTTTTATTTTTGTATTTTTTATTGTCTGCTCGTAGGAAAAATTGTGTTCTTAACATTAGCGGAAAAATGATACTTTCCGCACTTGTTAGGAAAATAAAATCGAAATCCTTGTACTTATTTTTGCAAACGCATGCAACTACATTTTGGAGTGTATCTTATATGAGATCTATTTTCAGCAGGATGGTGCCCCAACTCATTATTCATTATTCTTTAATATCAAGAGAATCACTAGATATGATATTTGTGGAAAGATGGGTATAGGAAGAGCTGGCTCTATAGAATGGGCACCTATTACTCTCCTGACTTGAAAGTTCCAGACTTTTTTCTCTGGGGTTATATCAAGAAGAGTATGATCCTTTGTCAAATAGCCTGGAAGATCTTAAGCGGAACATTCGTAATGTCATTGAAACGATTCCTCAGGAAATGTTACATAATTCCTTCAACCATTTACCGATCCGTGCGTGGAGCAAAATGGCCAACATATACATCTCTTTTTACAGTTTTATCTAGATTATTACCTTGCTATCAGACAAAGATAATTTCGAAGCTTTGATGTGAATATGCTAATAAAAAATGCGTTTGCAAAACTGCCCAGGATTTCAATTTAAATTTTTTACGGCTGAAACTTTAAGTTTCAAGGACGATGTTTATTGGTACATGGATACCTTGAACATGACTCGTTTTTTTGACATTGTAATATACAGGGTGTTCCATTGAAAATAGTGGAGAATTTCGATGTTGAAAAACTGCATTTTCTTTACTGGCCCGGTAAAAGTATCAAAAAATGAGCAACTCACCAAAAAAAAAACTCTAGGCCAAGAGTAGTCGAATGGCACAAACCGCAGGTGGCTAGCATACTTGGTTCAAAAGTTATGAGCATTTGAAATGGGTCACTCTCGGCTGGGACACCCTGTATTATTCAAATTTCAATCACTTAATTATATATTTTCTTACATTTTCCGATCAAAAATTATTCGAAAACGACCCCAATTTTGCTGAAATCGATTCACAATTACCAATTTTAACCTCTTGATAGCCGCCATTTTGTAAATGGTCGCCATCTTGCTCCTATGGGTCCGACAAGGGGGTCATGCGGGTCAAATCGCTTATAATTGTAAAAAAATCATCTGTACCAAATTTCATGCTTTTATCACAATTTGCAAGATTATTGGACTAACCGCCCCGACTATTCTGAGAATGATCATTATTCGAGTAGCAAAAAATTCCAAAACTACTTATTGCAAAACAATTATCATTTCTTTTTATGTAGGTACCCACTGTATACCTACTTATTATGCATCAGATGATAATGCACTGCTAATACTATGTGGATATATAACTTTTCAATCAATCCACACTGACCAAATATACGTCCAATTCAACGATGTCAAATGGACGCTTCATAGACGTCTAAATACAGGTTATTTTTTCTGAATGGGTCACATTAGGTTGTACATGGTAACTTTTGAACCTGTTGGTTCATGTCTACTCACAATGAGTACCTATGCTTTATTTCCTATTTCATGCGTTTGAATTTTGTCTGTTTATTGGAGGTATTCCGAAGAAAACAATTCAAGAGCCGGGAATAGACAAACATTAGGACAAAAAAATTTGAGAATTGGAAAGCAGA